ATGGTTATTTCTGTAAGGGGCTGGTCACCCCTGATCTTTTCAAACTGTCTCTGCGGATGTAAGAAACACATTCTCAGCATATGATTATGACTTTTTCCAGAATTTTAAGATTTGTGCAGAAAGCCATATAAAATAAGGGCAAGTGGAAGCCAATGAGAGACTTTTCGTGATGGTTCCTCACTTGGAAAATGTTCTTGGCAGTCAAGGGAAATTTTGTAATACAGACAATACGTTTAAGATCTTCTGCTGTTGTCACTGCTGACCTGTTGTTTCTTTACTGGTTGTGTATTACTTTGATCAATTCCTTGGATTTTAAAAGTTGAATACACATTAAACAGTTTAAAACAGAAAAGAAAAAAAACCTCTCCATGTCCATAATGATACAATATTTAAAATAGCTTTTTGATAGCACGGAATGATTTCTCAACTAATACATTAATCAGAGTAAATTTGTGCTATAGAATATACTAAGTTTAAATAGCCATCTGTCTCCTCCCAGACTACTCATTGCCAATAAATTATTTTTGACCAGGTATATAAGTGTTAAGACCTTGCACAAGGAAATACGGATACTGGATTATGCTATTCTTTGACAACCGTGTCTGAATCTGTCACTGAAAGTCTGATCTACCATTTTTAATAAAAACTTTGAAATCATTCAGAATTGGACTATATTCTATAGGCAGGTTAATTCTATTTCATTCACTTAAAAATAATCTGCTTATCACAAACATTCATTCTGACTAGTTGGTCAGTGATGTAACATGCTATTAGTGAGAGGGAATTTTATTTGATTCAATTTATGGACTGATCATCCGCCCTCTCAAATATCGTTCTAGGATCTGATCTCTGCTATATGATCTTGGATGCAAAACTGTTAGATAAAGGTGTACGTACTTGCTAAGTTTCACTAAAAAAGGTTGGTGGCATCAAACGGTGATATTCCTGGTCAGGGTTAAGGAAACCCTTCCTTTCTTTGGAGAAAGGCAGCATACAAGTTGAACAAATAAATAAATAAAGATACATAACAGTACTGTATGTTCTTGGGAGCTCATCTTCCAATTTCTCCCTCGAGTTCCTTCTTCCCAGGACTCTCTCAGCTCAATGCCAGTCATGCACTTGCTGCTTAAAAGAGCTTAGATATTTTAGAAGCAGAGTGTTTATGTATCTTCATTTGTGATGAAGAAAACGAAGATAAGATGTTGGCTTTGCATGTGGAGTCAACTATTAACAGAGGACACTCAGGAAGCAACACTACAGCCTGGATACACATTTTGGGAACAATAGGATCTAAAGCCCAATACATGCAGGGCAGCTCATTAGGATTTAATTCCCATTCTAACAGACAGTGTGCCTTGTATCCCATCCACAGAATGTCCTAATGAGTGAATACAGTTGAAATATTGCAGTCCTTTTCTCAGGTATGTTTGCTCTAGGCAAATTATTCATGATTAATATTTTGTATTGTGTCCTGTATACATTTTGCCTTGAGGTTTTTTTAATGGAAAAGAATACATAAATAAAATATTATGAAAAATACATTTTCACATACCAGGAGAAATTATTGGTGGTAGATCTTTTTGAGTAAACCTTTTCATTAAAAGGATCTGTTTGTATTAAAAACTATAGATTCTCTCTTTCCTTCCAGCTAGTGCAACCTTTCCCAACTCTGATTTCTGGAAATTGAAATTACATGTTGTCAATATCTCCCTTTATTTATCAGTAACTATTATACTGATGTAGCATGTAGCTCTAGATAAGAATGGTTATTGACAGAAAGTTCAACAGATTTTCAAAATGTTATGTATTAAGAGAAAATTGTGATTTTGTTCTTTCGTTTTCCACCTTTGATTAATACTGAAAATAAAAGTGTAGTGGGACGAGCTGCCAGATTTTAAAAATGGGTCAGCAACAGTTCGCTTCCTTTTCATTTTTAACAGAAATTGTTGTATTTTATTGTAATTATTTTAAGAATAACATGGGTATACATTTGTAATGAAGTATGGTAAGTTCATGACTGTTTTATTTAAGTTTAATTTCAAGGCATTAAATAAACTACATTTTAAGAATAAACAAGTGACTACATAAACACTTTTAAACATACCTAGTTCTGAGAGTGCTTCGGAAAAAATGAACTTTCTGACCCCGGGGAGGGTGGCGGCAGGGAGAGACACAGTATCAACCACCCAGGGGTTCCTGAGAGCAATCATTTTAATTTCCCAGAAGATCCCAAGATCTGGCATACAATCCCAGTCATGTGGCATATTAAACTGGAGGCTCACAGGAAGAATCTGCTTGCCCTGGGGGCCTTCAGGCAGATGTCAGCATTGCTGAGCTTTACTCACACCATCCTTGAACACTAGTAAATAAATAACCAACATGATGTACTCGATTTGAGACTTATGGCCGAGGTGAATTGTGCACATCCGCCCCCCACCTATTTTAAATATATATAACCTACAGGAATTGACAGAGCAATAAACCACGAGAAGAACGGCAAATTGGTTAGTTCTTTCTCTGCCTACTGGTTGCCAAATGTTTCCTTATATCAGGGTCCCTGGTATAGGGATATAAGGATCTGTTCCATCAATTCGGCTGTCCTGTTTAGGGTGACCCGCTCCCTGCTCCATCCGGGAGTGCGGGAGGCTCCCTTGGAAGGCAGGGCGGAGGATTTTGGACAATACCTGTATGACAAAATCGCTCAGATCTGGGGGAATTTGGACTCTGACTGGGTAGATCAGGGCAGAGTGACGAGGAATAGTCTTGAGAATGTTATCTGGGAGGAGTTTGACGCTGTGACTCCCGATGATGTGGACAGGATTTTGGGGAGACTTAGTGCGGCCACATGTTTACTGGACCCATGTCCCTCCTGGTTGGTACTGGCTTCCCGGGAGGTTACACGAGGCTGGCTCCAGGGTGTTATCAACGCTTCGCTGAGTGAGGACCACTTCCCCGCTGCCTTGAAGGAGGCAGTGGTGAGGCCTCTCCTCAAGAAGCCGTCCCTGGATCCGGCAATATTGGCCAACTACCATCCTGTCTCCAACCTTCGCTTCATGGCGAAGGTTGTGGAGAGTGTGGTCGCGCGACAGTTCCCACAATTCCTGGAGGAAACATCTTATCTAGATCCGTTCCAGTCAGGTTTCAGGTCTGGGCACAGCACGGAAACGGCATTGGTCGCGTTGGTTGATGATCTCTGGAGGGCTCGGGACAGGGGTTATTCCTCTGTTCTGGTCCTGTTAGATCTCTCAGCGGCTTTTGATACCATCGACCATGGTATCATGCTGCACTGGCTGGAAGAGTTGAGGGTGGGAGGCACCGTGTTGCGGTGGTTCTCCTCCTTTCTCTCCGACCGGTCGCAGTTTGTGTTGGCAGGGGGGCAGAGGTCGACCTCGAGGCCTCTCATCTGTGGAGTGCCACAGGGATCGGTCCTCTCGCCCCTTCTGTTCAACATTTATGTAAAGCCGCTGGGCGAGATCATCCGTGGCTTCGGGGTGAGATACCACCAGTACGCTGATGACACCCAGCTGTACATCTCCACCCCAGGCCACCCCAATGATGCCCTTGAAGTGATGTCCCAGTGCCTGGAGGCTGTGCGGATCTGGATGGGGAGGAACAGGCTCAAGCTCAACCCTTCCAAGACTGAGTGGCTGTGGCTCCCGGCATCCCGATATTGTCAGTTGACTCCATCACTGACTATTGGGGGCGAGTCTTTGGCCCCCACAGAAAGGGCTCGCAATCTGGGAGTCCTCCTGGATATGCAGCTGTCCTTGGAGGAACATCTGACAGCTGTAACCAGGGGGACCTTTTGTCAGGTTTGCCTGATTCGCCAGTTGCGGCCCTTTCTTGATCGGGATTCCCTGTGCACAGTCACTCATGCCCTCGTCACCTCTCGCCTTGACTACTGCAACGCTCTCTACATGGGGCTCCCCTTGAAGAGCACCCGGAGGCTCCAACTGGTCCAGAATGCAGCAGCGCGGGTAGTGACGGGAGCAGCATGGCGCTCCCATGTAACACCGCTCCTGCGCGAGCTGCACTAGCTCCCAGTGGTCTTCCGGGTGTGCTTCAAGGTGCTGGTTATCACCTTTAAAGCGCTCCATGGCATCGGGCCTAGCTATTTTCGAGACCGCCTGCTGCTACTGACGACCTCCCATTGTCCCGTGCGCTCCCACAGAGAGGGCCTCCTCAGGGTGCCATCAGCCTGGTGATCCCCAGGGGGAGGGCCTTCTCTGTGGGGGCACCTACCCTCTGGAATCAGTTGCCCCCAGAGATAAGGAGAATCCAAGACCTTAGTGCCTTCCGCTGTGCCCTTAAAACCCACTTTTTCCAGCAAGCCGGACTGGCTTAAGAAGAAATTTTAAATGTTTTAATTGGTTTGTATTTTTAATTTTGGGCCAAATTTATATATATTTTAATTGTTTTTAAATATTTGTATTTTATGTTTTTTAATTCTGGCTGTACACCGCCCTGAGTCCTCAGGGAGAAGGGCGGTATATAAATTTAAAATAAATAAATAAATAAATTCTTTTGCCTAAGATCAATTGTAAAGATAGTCACAGCTGTAACCTCTCCTTGACCCCTCCAACCATTGAAAAGCAGTTTATATTCAAACCTTCCTCTACCTCATACCTTTTCTCCTTACTCAGATGTAACTGGAACATGTTAAACCAGGATAAAATGAAACATGGGCATTTTTTAGTTCAGCCTGTTGTGTGAACTCAATGATTTGTGAAAATTCCAAACTTTTTGTCAAACTGAGTTAGGGTTTAATGTTGTGTAAACCCACCCACAGAATCATTTCCAGTATGACAATGTACCCTTGACAGGTTATTTTGCTCTGCATTTCTGACAGGCTCCATCCTGCAGTAGATATGTAAACTCTTTCTTCATATTCTCTAAAACAAATTAACATATCTTTCTTTTTGTGAAATGCCAAACATGAATCATTTGAGGCATTATGTCTGAAGATGTTACTGTTTTATAGTAATCATTTGATACAAGCCTTCTGTTTAGAAATCATTCTTTGATTTAATCCACAGATGAGATTCCAACATATGGTACATTTCGAACTCTTCTTAATTGCACATATTATAGGAATTGATGGGAGTATTATATTTTTCTTTACAATTACTATTTCTCAAAAGCCAAAAATATTTTTTTTAAAAATCATTCAGTCAGCCTTCTAAAACATATAACTTCATAATTTTGGATCTCTTGTTTTCCTGCTTAACACATAACAGAATGTGTTTCTACCCAAACCTACATAATACAGGGAATCCCGGCATATGGTGACATGAGAAAGAAAGCACTCTGCTAATATAATGAAATAGAGAATATTTCTATTAGCAACAGCATATTACATCTGGAAAATCATGGTTTGTAGTGGTCTTTTTTCTTTCCATTAATAAATAAAACTGATTTACAATATAGTTGGATGGAAATTCAAATGCACACAAGCATCAGGTGTTACGTTTTTATGTATACCAGCATCCCTCAGTCTGGCACTCAAAATTGTCTCCAGTAATTTCCAGAGGAACAGTTCACTGTTCTTTCACTGCAGCAAAATGAAAATGTATTGTGGCACTGTAAAGACAAAATTTGTTGTGACATAAGCTTTGTAGAATAGATTTTATCAGCTGCTCCAAATATTACCTTGAACTATAGAGACAGACAGCAAATAATAAGATTAGACAAAATAAAAACATTTGAATCTAATTGATGGGGATTCTATCTTATAACAGCTTATCTCCTAATAAATGTTTTTAGAATACTGACAAGACTTTATTGTTATATTCTGAGCAGTCTTAGCAACTTAACATGTTACAGTTCCAGAGTAAAGCTGTTCAAAGCTACCCTCCTAAACTCTTTTTATTTTTTAAAAAGTAAAATTATGAGGAAATCTATATATTTTCCCAACTCAGATGTAGGGCAGTCAAGTTGAGAAAGAGCACTGGCTGCTTCTTATGTCCATATTGGCTGCACCAAGCTGTGAATAAAGATAGAATCCCTCATCTCCCAGCTGTTCAACTCGTGAACAAACTGTAAAAGCTTCCACTTTTGCAGTTAACTCTTGGGAAGCAGCTGTTTGTCAGTTGTTTTGCATTAAAAAAAATGAGGAAATCTACTGGCATGTTTGATTCAAGATGATATATTATGTTCTGAATAAAAAATAAAAACCTTATATAATCAATTTTAAGAAACTGATAATTCATTTGTTTTGGTTCTAGTCAGCAAAATTGGTGAGAAATTTCATATGAAATTCTTATTTAAAACTGAAAAAAGTAAATTTTTATATTATGGTTCATTTGTTCCTACAATAATTTAAACTTTTTTTCAGATTTGAAAGAAAGTAATATGAAAACATGAATTAAGAACAGCTTTTATGTCAAAAAATTTTCGAAGATGCAGTTTTTAAACTAAAGAAAGTAGCTTCTTTCTCTAAAAGTAAATAAGCCACTGGCACTGGATGGAAAATTGAGCAGTTGGATGAGATCACTGGGCCTTGCCAAAGCCTCTGATGAGTGATTTTATAAAGTATAAAGAAACCAAAATTCTGCAATGGTCAGTTCCATGTCAATGGAGTTTCTCAATCATCCAGATGATAGTTGTCCCAAAGATGCTTTTTTCGAGGCAACTGGACTTTCTTTGTTTTTCATTGAAGAAGTTTCGCTTCTCATCCAAGAAGCTTCTTGGATGAGAAGCAAAACATCCTCAAGGAAAAACGAAGGAAGTCCAGTTGCCTCTTGAAAAAGCACATTTGGGACAATTGTGTTTCCTACCTCCTTAATCAATTCCATTCAAAATTAATTTCCTCCCCAATAAATGTTCTAATTACATGTGTCTGTATATATGTGTACTTTTCACAATCCACTCTTCATTAAAAGAAAAAGCAGAGGAAAAAAATTGTTGAATTAATTACTGATTAGAATTAACCGCTTATAAAAAGGATTCAGGTTTGTGCTCCCGCTCTATAAATTAACCTTTTTTCTCTTACACACCAACTACTCCTGCAAAAACACACAAACCTTTCTGTTTCTCCTTCTAGGAACAGCAGGAAAGAAGAAAATTAGGTGGAGATGGGATGAGCAGAAGGGGAAATTATTGGGAGGGAAAGAAAAATCGGAGATCCTTGCTGACAGAAAATAAGCGGAGAAGAAAGTAACTGGACAGGGGAGAAAAGAAAGTATGTTAGGATATTACAAAAAGAATTAAATTTGCCAAGCAATCTGTTCTTCCAAGCAAAAATTAATTACAGGTAATCCTCACTTAACAACCACAATTGGGCCTGGAATTTGGGTTGTAAATCATTGTTACATGGGCCACCACATGACCTGACTTAAGTTTTGCTACTATTTTTGTGATGCTTGTAAAGCAAGCCAACACAATTGTTAAGTGAATCGTGTGGTTGTTAAGCAAATCAAGTGGTTGTTAAGCGAATCCATTCTCCCAAATGGGGGTATTTTGTCAGAAATGGGGAAAAAATTGCCAGAAACTGGCAAAAAAGTCAGAAATCATGGTCATATGACCATGGGATACTGCAACCTATTGTAAATACATACTGGTTGCCAGGTGTTCAAAATGGAATCATGTGACCACAGGGATGTGTGTGCAGCAGTCATAACTTCAAGGATGACTGTAAGTAACTTTTTGAGTCTGTCATAACTTTGAACAGTTGTTAAAATGATTGGTCATTAAGTGAAGACTATCTGCTGCTCTGAGGATCAAGGCATCTATCATTTCCAGAAAAGCATATCTGCTATCATCTGTTCTTCTTGCCAATTTCTTTGGTTTTAACAACTTCTATTCCCATCAGGAGAATCCATATTGGGATCATCTCTGAGTGACGTTCTTGCTTTCCCCTAACAATATCTCCTTCCAGAAACAAAAACAAATAAAAAACAAAATGGAAATTCTAGTCCAAATGTAACCCAAGGACCACCCACAGTAGTTAAAATATTAAACCAAAACAGGAGATATTGAGTTTCAATGTCCTGCTTTCTCAGAAAGCTTCGTGGGTAATGTGAAGTCAATCATGATCTCTTTAGTGTAATCTTCCCATAAGATTAAGTATAAATGGAAGAATCATGATCGCTATGTTGAATTATTTGGAGGCATAGAGACAAAAAGCAGATAAGGTAATTAAAAAGCTGGCAAACTACAGTGCCACTCTTAGTTGTCAGAGGAGAGCTGCTGAAATCATTAACATGGATGAAATAAACTTACATTATTCAGCAAGGATGATCTATGAGGTCCCATGGCTTGGAAAGTTACCCGATGTATTTTTGGCTTGCCTCATGGCTAATTCAGCATGAATGCTCCGAGAACTACACAATCCCAGGGCTGTGCTCTTTGGTTTCCTACCTGAAAATTAAACTGCAAAATTGATATTCTCCAAATTTTGGTATTTTTTATTATTTAAGGTGAACAAAAGTGAATTAAACTGAAAAAAACTGAAGTGAATTATAAACAGCTTACTCCAAGAGAAGGCAGCTACAGATCTGCATAATTATTTTCCCACCTTTGTACTGAAACTAGAACAGCCCTTTTCTTAGGACTGCTATAATTTGGATAACCACTAGTGGCAGGAAAGAACTTATGTATTTTTACTGCCATTTCATAATCATCTACCTTCGTAGAACCAGATATGGCAGTACCAATTGCTGTGCCTAGTCTTTTTGGGGGGCCTTTGAATCAGTATTGACTCTTAGTGACTGCCTGGACTAGTCCCTGTAGTTTTCTTGGCAAGATTTCAGAAGTGGCTTAAGCACAGCCTGCTTCCTAGGGCTAAGAGAGTGACTAGGCCAAGGTATCCGGCTGGCTTTGTGTCCAAGACAGGACTAGAACTCAGAACTCCCTAGTTTTTAGCCTGGTGCCTTAACCACTATACCAAACTGACTCTGTCCATTCCATTGGTCTTTTTAAGTCATCTGCTCAGAGATGGAATGTATAATTTTAAAGCTGTGTTATCATAAAGTAATATTAATTCAACATATTTTTGGTTTATCTAATTTTATTCAGAAAGCTGCTGGACTGCAAAATGACACCGGGCAGCTTTCATAATTAAAGGAGTGGGAAAACCAGGAAGAACAAAAAACACACAGTTAATGTGTTAAATGAAGGTAATTATTACTATGTCTACATGTTCTAAAATGTGACATTTCGAGGTAGGCAAGCAACTGAATTAAGATCAGGGTCAACAGAGGATTGGAGGAATGTGTGCTCGTCTCACCCATAGAAGACTCACATGTACAAAACTGTAATGTACAAAACTGTCCTTGCAACTATAGCCCTTGGACAGGTGGACTTACATTTGCTTAACTCTTCTGCCCTGATGATTGAGCTATGAAATTAGGGTAATTAGGTTCCCATTCCAGTTGCTATTTTATATGTCAGCCAGCTCCTACTTCAATCCTCAACCAATCAAATTTACCATCTCATGATTCCATTGTACAGTCCAAAACTATCCAAAACCAGCACAGTGAATTGCCCAAATCCATGAGAAATCATTGACAGGAGCCAACATTTTTGACACACAGCACAAAATGAAGTCCAGCAGTCCACTTATACTTACTTTTGTTAGCCTCGCTTACATTCACTTCATCAATAGTATAGGGAAAACCAAACTCAGTCACATATGCATGGCTGATTGCTCCCGAAAGACTCATATTAGCAATCTTCAAGGGGCATGCTTTGGGGAAAGAAGGTAAGAGCCCAGGAAATCCACACTCTATTGGAGAATTGGCAGAAGGAAGAACCTACATGAGGAAATAAGAAGTAATAAAGTATAACCTAGTCTTAAACATGCTATAAAAATAATTAAAATGCTGTAGGCCCATGCCTGAACATTCTGCTATACAAGAAAGAGGGACCCGAACAATGGTAAAAGATTTGAATAGATGTTGGGGAATACAAGGCAGGAAATCCTAGGGATCTGATTTGTTGGCTAGTCTGGGGGAGGTAGGCAGGTTTTTGTCTGTGTATTGGGTTGGTTTGATCATTATGCAAAGTGGCCCTTTCAAGAGAGGAGCAGAGCTGGGGAAGCCCACTGTTAAAAGACATGAAATATTCAACTGATAGATGATGGAGTCTTGGGGTTTCTCTAGGTTGCAATTCCCTTGTAAGGGTTGCCCTTGAGCTGCACCGTAAGATGGTAAAGAGGCTTATATTCTTTGGTTTAGATACGATTGCAGGGGACTTTGGGGGAGAGAACATGATGTAGTCTCCATTTTGTTTATTAGGTTTATTTTCTCCACTACACTCAACTGAGAATCAGTTTGGTCTAGTCATTAAAGCATCAAGCTAGAAACTGGGAAATTGTGAGTTTTAGTACCACCTTAGGCATGAAGCCAGATAAGTGATCTTGGGCCAGTCATTCTTTCTCAGGAGACAGCAATGGTAAAGCACTTCTGAAATCTTGCTAAGAAAACTGCAAGGACTTGTCCAGGCAGTCACCAGGAATCTAAAAACCCATCTTGTTGAAGTCTAATATATTTAATTCTTATTTTGTCAGTGATTTCCCAAACAATGAATCTGCTGGTAATCTTTCCAACTGTGTCTGTCTGCAGTGCAATACAATGGCAACTGTAATATAATCTCTCGGGTATTCAAGGGTATATCCTCACTTTGTTTTGTGCCAAAATGATTTGTTATGATGGATGGTTAAGTGTGATAGATAGTGGATAGATGGATGGATGGATGGATGGATGGATGGAGATAGATAGATAGATAGATAGATAGATAGATAGATAGATAGAAAGAAAGAAAGAAAGAAAGAAAGAAAGAAAGAAAGAAAGAAAGAAAGATCTTGTTAAGAACTTCTTTCAAAGTGAAATCCAAAAACACAACTCTAATGATTGTTATTTCTTAACCAGAGCTATTTTTTTTTTCAGGATTAGATGCAGAGGAGTCTTCTTAGTGATGGTCTCTATTCTATGAAGTTATCTATCAAGCCCCTATGGATATTCTTTTGCAACCTTTTTTTTAAAAAGTACACTGCATTTGTTCCAATAAGCTTTTAAGTATTATTAAAATCAGAGGTTATTGTTTTGTGTGCCATTGTATATTTCTACTTGGGTGTTTTTTCACATTCTGAAAAAAACTTAAGAGAATGATTTTAAATATCTTCAAGCAGCTGATATTCCTTTAAAACTGACTTTTAATCCACAACAGTGAAAATAAACTCTTATTATTTTTAACAAATTTTCAAAAATCTGATCAGGCTCTCAGTTTCTATATTTTTGGATTAACATTTTTTTCTTTCTTATAGGATTTCATCTCAGGACTGCAAGTTTGTCTCAGTGCTTAGTGTAAAAAATGCATTTCCCAATTTTCCAATATTCTGTCCTAAATCTCAATGCAAATTTGTCCTATTTCTGACAAATTCCCTTATTTTTATTTCTTCTGAGGTGGAGCATATTATATTTTATGATTAACTAGATTAGTTTAAAAGCCAACTCCACAACAGGTTGTTAGACAACTTGACAAAATATCTATCCAAAAATGGATGCACTCAGTTCCACCTCATACTTCACCTCAGTTACCTTCCAATCCAGGAACCAATTCCCAATTTATTTTAAATTGTGAATTTGCTGAGGTCTGCCTTTGGCAGTAGTCCCATGCAAGCAGATGGAAGCCCTGATTAGAGCAATAGTGTTTCTGCTGGGGAGAGAGACTTATAAAGAAAAACAGGAAACTGGGCTTTTAAGCCATCAATTTCAGCCGTGGTTAACCTGACTGGCATTAGATATTTCAAGCAAATGATGACTTTTCCAGCCTACCTGGAGATGGTTGGGGTAGACCCTGGAATCTTCTGCATTGAAAACATCACTGAGTTGTGGCACTTTCCTTATAAACATTAGCAAGCACTAACAGCTTAATTCTGTGTTCTGACCCCAGTAGGTTTTGACAGTATTTCTTCTTCAGATGACAGCAATTTCTCTTCAGTTTCAGCCCACTGCTTCATGCTCTATCTTGAACATTTGGATAAGACAATTCTCCCCTTCTCTCACTGAAACCCTTTAAAAGGTTTTTTAAAATCTGAAAATTCTGTTAGAAGCAGGCTATGCCTACATCTGATAAAAAACTGGATTAGAAAATTGATAAAATGGATGAAAAAGGCCACAGCAGCATGTAAGAACAATTTGATTCAAGATGGAGGTCTGAGGAAGCTGCTGGGACTCAAATGGAAGGTATCTTTATGACACCAGCCTATATGTGGAGCAGTCTGAAAATGGCAAGTGATGCCTTTTGAAATAATGCTCCCCCTTTTGCCACTCTATTCTTATTTCTCCAAGAAGTAGAATTTCCATTTTACAAAAGGAACCCATAACCATAACTTGAATACATGTATGTTATTAGTCCCCAGCAGAAGAAAGCACTTGAGATTAGCTAGCCATAACATAGAGTGAAATGGATTGGGGGATTATTAAATAAATGTAATGTTCTTTTATTTTTATTCTTCTTAGTGTTTTGCTCACAAATGCAGGGTTTGCCTGTTTTGCTTGTAATAGGAATTGATTACTGGTTATCAAAGCCTGATATGAGAGAGAGTGACTGGCCCTAAGTCACCCAGTTTACCTTTATGCCTAAGGCAAGACTAGAATTTACAGTCTTCTGGTTTGTAGCCTGGTGCCTTAACCACTAGACCAAAAAAGCTGTCATTCTTTTAAATTATTTATTAAAATATTTCAAGTACCTGGCCCACCAAATAAAATTATATAAGGGACTACTTTAGTTGCTTTTCTCCATGTAAAATTTCATTTGAGATTTCATGCCAAAACCAAGTTATTTTGAAGAAAATAATATTTTTCTATAAACTCTTAAGGAAAAAAAAACTTTCTTTTCACAAACAAAACTGAGAACTTGTTCTACTGTGGCAGCCTAATGAGAAAATGCCTCACTTCTATTATAGCTAAGTAGATGATTCTCATTCAAACTTTTTGAAAAACAGAATATCTCACTAATAAGTTGGAAGCCTTTGCATTCTATTCCTAGCTGCACTAATATTGTATTATAATTTATTTTTAAGTGATATACAGTTTATAAAACAGACTTCGGTTTAGAATTAGAGCATTTACTGAAAGATGTGTGGCAAATAAATTTAATAATAATAATAATAATAAAATACTAGTTTATCGGAGGCAATAATTGAGTTAACGAGCATTGGAACTTCAAGTGACACCACCATACTTTGGGGGCATTAACTCGGCGAGGAATTGTAGCATAGAGAAACATGCCTCATTTCTTGGAAAGATGGCATAATTTTTTCCTGCTATGATATGTATGTAAGAGTGGAGCTTAAGACATCACAAATCAAGATTGTCAAAGTCCCAGTTTATAAAAGGTATATCCTTTTCTCTATTTGAAATACAAAATAAATATTCAAATTTAGATGACCCATATTATATTCCAAGGAGAAAAATATCTGCAAAATAAAACATTTTGCCAATTTTCAAATTAATTCATCTCTTAATAATAGAAACTGTAAAGTGCTATTAAGAGTACTAGATTTTTATTTCCACTGAAAATTTTACCAATTTTACCAATTATTCAACTGGGGATTATAAATACACTTTGCCCTGTATCACTGAAAATGTAAAAGCTGGCTGATAAAAAAGGAAAGGATACTAAAGTCCCCAGGATGTAGAGGCACCTGTCATACAGACACTCTCATTTTAAACAATACCCAAACCTTCAGAGCTAGTCTTCTAATGGACTGTAACTGTCCTCACAAAACCAACATGAGAATTTAATATGAGCTCTCTAGAACAAATCAGTATTCCTTTTAGCTGATCAGTAAAGATATATCAAAAGTAGCTTCTGAACAAAGCACTAAGACTGTCCCCATCTCTATCCTTTCCTTGGGCAATATATGTTTCTGCAGTAAAAAAGTGGAAAAAATGCAGCTCACTAGCTGCAAAGCTGCCCTGAAGTTCATCGTACATTGGTTACTATGTCAGCAGCTGTGGGGAAAACAGAGCAAGAAACCAGGGGTGGAGACTTGTGGAAATTCCTACAAGTAAGGAAACGGCCCAACCACAAGCCAAGTGGAATCCTTTGTAAGTTGCAACGCAGAAAACTTGCAATTTGAACTTTAGCAGAAATATAGCATAAAGTCCCTTCAGAAGTTCCATAATTATCATCAAGGTCTGTGATTAAGCAGAATCGTTGCATGTATAATTCTACATGCTTTAATAAGTTTACATTCTATCTTTCTTCCATGATGCCACTCAAGATGGTATTCATCCATAGAATTCCGAGATGGTCTCTAATCCAGATACAGATGAGGTTAAGGACAACTGACTTTCAATGAATCAAGAACCCTTACAAATTATAATTCATCAAACTTTTGCTGTTGTTAGGCTATTTGTTCCAGGGGTGGGCTGCTGGGGGTTCGCTTGGGGAGGACAAAAAACGGGACTACCGGAAGTTCAGGAAGTCTGGCCTCCGGAGGGCCTCCGGAGCCTGAGGAGGCCATTTTTGCCCTCCTGGAGGCTCGAGGAAAGCCTCCAGAGCCCGGGGAGGGCAAAAACGCCCCCCTCCCCGTGGTGCAAGAGGCCAACTAGGCCACACCCATCATGGCCACGCCCACCCAGCAACCGGGTAGAGAACCTCTTGCTAAAATTTTTGAAGCCCACCCCAGACTTGTTCCTATAGACAGTACACATAATTATGGACTAAAAATGTAACTGGAACACAAACACTTCTTGATTTATTTATTGGAAAAAATAAGGTGTGGTTAAACCCAAGATATGGCATATTCACATTTTTATAAACAACTGTGAGGTTTCAGATCCAAGATAAAATTTGTACATATAAAGTGATAAGTTTATCGCAAGATAGAACAGAGGCTATTATATGGTTGTATGATGGTTAATCATGTACTTTCTGCATGCTTTTCTGACATTTTGTGAATTTTTAAAAAATGTTAAACTGGTTTTAACATTTTTATGTATTATTTTATTCTGTATGTTGTATATAGAAACATGATAAGATAGATAGATAGATAAATAGATAGATAGATAGACAGATAAATGGATAGATAGCTAAATAGCTAAATAAATAAATAACAAGTTATATCTTTGCTTCCCAAATCCTCATCCATTCAATCTCTTAACCTTATACCCCATTCCCTTGCTTTTTAATTCTCTTCACCAATTATGTCTGTTGGAAATCGCTCCGTTTTTATTTGCTATCTGTGAATTAAGCACAGCAGGACTCACTTGGTTGCCTCTAGGTGACAAGGTACCATCAAGTATGGATTACTTCAAAATAAAAGTGAGTCACAAGTATACATTCAAAGTCATTTAGTGCTTCAGGAAAGTAAAATAGAATAAGCTGACCTTGCCAGCCTCATCAGAAAATCTTATTTCAGGTCAATGAGCATGTAATGATGATAATTTCTGAGCAGGTAACAGGGACCCAGAGGGTAACAATAATCTTTGGAGTAAGATAGCTTAAGATAGCAGTATTGTTAAATAGACAATTGCAACTCTTATTTCTGATCTGGCATGATGCCAGCATTAAATTCTTGATGAAACGTGGCAACCCACATGCTGTGTGTCAAAAGTATGCTGAATTATGAAGAAAGGAAGGACGGAAGGACAGAAGAAAAGAAAAAAGGGAGAGGTAATAGAACTTTCTAAAGGCAGTATTTAACAGAGAGAATCAAATCTGGTTCATCCTTCCCAAAATAGTAACAGCCCAAACCAAACTTAATTATAATAACCATGCTTTACTTGCTGTTCTAGCAAATGGAATTCAGCTCTTGCCCTCTCTTCTGGGTTAACTGTTATGCCATCCAAAACCTGAAGGTTAGGTAAGCGAAATATAAGGAGGGGGCGATGGGAAATTTTACGTGATACCTAAGAAAGGAAGAGAGGTGCAAAAAGTTAATCCAGGCACTAAAGCATGGGTGTCAAACTCTATTGCGTCATATGACATCAGGTGATGTCTTGCAACTTTTTTGCTGGGCTGGGTGTGGCCTGTGAGTGATGCATCTGGCCCGCGGGCTGCCAGTTTGACACCCCTGCACTAAAGCATCAGGTTCTCCATATCCACATCCTTTCCAAAGGTTTAAGTCAATTTCTTGACTTAATTGAAAGTGAAGACAGATAAAACAAAATTAACACCTCTAACATTAGTACAGGGTAACATTCTTGAAAAGGCAATCTATTTTTAGAACTTTCAAAGACACACATGCAATCCAGTGGTGGGTTTCAAATTTTTTTACTACCGGTTCTGTGGGTGTGGCTTGGTGGGCGTGGCAGGGGAAGGATACTGTAAAATCTCCTTTCCGTCCCCAATCAAGGGGAAGGTTACTGCAAAATCCCCACTTCCTCCCGATCAGCTGGGACTTTGGAGGCAGAGAATAGATGGGGGCAGGGCCAGTCAGAATTTTTACTACCGGTTCTCCGAACTACTCAAAATTTCCGCTGGTTCTCCAGAACGGGTCAGAACCTGCTGAAATCCACCTCTGATGCAATCCTTATACAAACAGTAACCATAACAAATCACATACATTTTAAAAGTGTTGTGCAGCAGTTCTTACTTTGAAAGAGAAGAAGGGATGAAATGCTCCCAGTTCGGAGTGGATCGCCCGATCCAGTAGCGAGGGTGGCGGGTGGTTAGGAGAACCGGTAGCAAAAATCCCGCCCCCCCAATGCCCAGCTGAGCCACGTGATCATAAGAGGCTTTTTTTTAATTTTTAAAAGCATTTTTGCTACAACCTCTTCGGCTGAAAAAATGCTTTTAAAAATTAAAAAAAAAAGCCTCTGATGATCGTGCGGCTCAGCTGGGATCGTCAGAGGCTTTTAAAAGAAAAAAGCCTCTGACGATCAGGCAACTCAGCTGGGATTGTCAGAGGCTTTTAAAAGCATTTTTACAACCTCTTCAGCCAAAGAGGTTGTAGAAAAAATGGTTTTAAAGGTTAAAAAAAAAAACTTGGCCACGCCCATTCAGTCACATTATCCCCCCACCAAGCCACGCCCACAGAACTGGTAGTAACAAATTTTACATTTCACCACTGAAGAGAAGCTATATTGGTAAAGAGAGTAATAATTGAGCACTGAGTCCCCTTAGTACTAGAGAAGCATAAACAATTCAATGTTATGTTCAGCACGAAGACAATTAGAAAAGATAGAATATGACAAGTTTTAAAACAGCTGCTTTTGTTTTACACCAAATATATTCCTCAAAAATCTAAAAATAAAATTAGACAACTTTCAGAGCGTATTTTTATCTCAACCTACTGAAACCAGTGTAAATGAACAGCTGAATATAGCAATCAAGCAGCAATAGGAATTATTGGAGCTGTGAATGCCTCAGATTCAATTCCACAAACATACTTTGAAGCATGGAGTGCATGAATGCAGGATCTATTTGCAATTGGTCCTCAAATTTCTGTTGTTAAGTGAGACAGATGTTAGGAGAGTTTTGCCCCATTTTATGACCTTTCTTGCCAGAGTTGCTAAGTGAATCGCTGCAGGGGTTAATTTAGTAAAATGGTTGTTAAGTGACTCAGACTTCCCCATTGACTTGGCATGTCAGAAGGTCACAAAAAGGTGATCACATGACCCATCATGAATACAAGTCAACTGCCAAGCGTCTGAATTTTGATCATGGGGATGCTGCAACAAGTCACTTTTTTCAATCTGTTGTAATTTCGAACAGTTGCCAAACAAACTGTTGTAAATCGAGGACTCCCCGTACAGTTTTGCCTTCTTGCATTCAACTCATTTACATGATTTCCCAAGAACGTGTTGACTATCTATTTATGAAAAGACTTTAGCATATTCAAATATTGTGCTTAATATCTTGAGTAAATTCGTAACAGTTTATGGCAAATGGGTAGACAATGAAAGCGTTAATGTTAATGTAGCATGTAATACAGCATTTTCTAAATAGAAAAATTAGGGATATTTAGAGGAATGAAACAAAGGGTATTATAAACTTAAATGATATTACTGTGCAAAATAGTATACTCACTGGATTTCCGTATATTGAAAGTTCTTTAATACAAGGAAGATATTCAAGTTTTTCAAGTTCGACCAAATCCTGCCCCCAAAATAAAAAATAGATTTTGTTCAATATGTTTTTACAGGTAATCCTCATGTAATGACCAATCATTCAGTGGTCCTTTTGGATCACCGGTGCAGCCTTTCCTCAGCAGAACCACATTCATACCACACCTTGGGCATCACTTACACATTCTGTTCTGCCTGCTAGCAGCTATTGCCAGCTCTAATTTACCTGCCTGCTTGTAAGCTATATGAGACCCACTTCAGAACCTGCAATCCTTGCTTAATGACAGCAACGGGGACTGCCAGAATTGCCATCACTAAGTGATGGTTGCATGATATGGTGCTTTAATAATTGCATCACTTAGCATCGGAATTTCTGGTTCTAATTACCATTGTTAACCAGGCACTGTATAGATTTTCTGTCAAAAATATATCCACAAAGTCACACAACACGGCATATGGGTATAAGCATACTAGAGAAGCAATGTACTGATAAACATTTTAAGATACAACAATTCAACCAAAATAACGAAGAAACCCCAGAGGTGCCAAAGATTTAAAGCGCTCCATGGCATTGGACCTGGATACCTTCGAGACCGTCTTCTGCCACCAGTAGCTTCCCACTGGCCAGTCCGCTCCCACAGAGAGGGTCTCCTCAGGGTACCATCGGCCAAATTATGTCAGCTGGCGACACCCAGGGGGAGGGCCTTCTCTGTGTGAGCCCCTGCCCTTTGGAATGAGCTGCCCCCAGAAATTCGTAAAATCTCTGATCTCCGTGTAATTTCGCTGTGCCCTCAAAACCTTGTTGTTTCGCCAGGCTGGGCTATCAAGGTAAAGATTTTAATTGGGTTTTTAAAAATGGGATTTTAAATTTGGGGTTTTAAATTGAGCCTATCATTTAATAATTTTAATTATTTTTAAATTTTGTCTGTCTTTGTGCTTTTAATCAGGCTGTACACCGCTCTGAGTCCTTCGGGAGAAGGGCGGTATAGAAATAAAATAAAATAAAATAAAATAAAATAAAATAAAATAAAATAAAATAAAATAAAAATAAAATAAAATAAAATAAAATAAAATAAAATAAAATAAAATAAAATAAAATAAATAAATAAATAAATAAATAAATTTGTGTGCTATTGCCAAACAATACTAGGTTCAAAAGAGGATATAGACAGGCCAGATGCAATTTGTGGGGCATCCATGTATCATCTTTTATCCAGAGTGCACTATTTTTTCCTGTTTTTCAGGCCTCACATTCTGATTTCTGTTGTAGTCCTTTCTGTTTTATGATTTCCAGCTGACTCAGTCTCCTTTGCAATAAAGGAATGAAGAAAAACATCACTTTCTGTCCCAGTCAACCTTCTCCACCCTAATGCTCTCCAGATGTATTGGGAGTAGAGCTTCCAAAATGTCCACTCAGCTGATATGCTGGCCAAAAATTCAAGCAGTTACAGATTAAATACACTGCTTAAAAAAAATAAAGGGAACACAAGCAGAAGACATCCGAGATCTGAATGAATGAAATAGCCTTATTAAATACTTTGTTCGTTACATACAGTAGTTTTGTGTTCCCTTTAGTTGTTTGAGCAGTGTATAAACTACTGTATGTAAAGAACAAAGTATTTGATAAGGCTATTTCATTCATTCAGATCTCGGATGTCTTCTGCTTGTGTTCCCTTTATTTTTTTGAGCAGTATATATTTGGAAGACTTCAGGATGCAAAGGCTGAGATATAAGACCTCCTGTACCTGAATTCTGTTGAGACCAAGGAAAAGCTTCTGTAGTTTTCCCAAGGGAAGCAAATTGTTGAGTTCACGCAGGCGATTCTCCTCCAGGTGAAGAGCCAGCAAGGAGTTCTGTCTGGCAAAAGAATTCTCACCGATAACTTTAATTTTGTTATGATCCAGCACCAATTCCTGCAAAATTTGCAGGCCTTCGAGCCCTTCAATGTGGCTGATTTCATTACCTGTTACACCAAAATCAAAAGTGGATAGGGAAAAGATGCAATGGACAAATGGACAACTGAAAATAATTAAAAAGACAAATATTTCAGAATAATTATATCCCCTTCACTCAGCCCAGAACATACCACTGAATATCAGATCTTGATAATGGATACTTACCACCTCCATTGATTGTGGTACTTAATGTTCCTATTTATGAAGTATCTCTGAATAAATACAGGGTTTATTTGATCTGCAATTGAGTCATGCTTATATTTTTGTGAAATATATTGGGCTACATAATTTGTTTATTTCAAAGTTAGTGTGTCATATGAACTCAGCAGCTGGTGGCTTATTATGGTGAATCCAGTTTATTGTAACAACTATAATTTAATCAACAAACTATAGTTACAATAACACTGAATTAGTGAAAAGTGTTAACAATTAATACCCCAAGCTAATCAAGTTGGCTTTACATGAAGGGAAGCCAATGATGTCATGAGAACAGACAAATATGATATGATTTTAAATCCATGTATACAATATCCCTCCCTCCCTTCCCTTTTTTCTTTTCTTTTCTTTCAAGTCAGCAGCTGCCTAGACCAGGGGTATCAAGCTCGTGGGCAAGATGCGTCATGCGCTGGCCACGCCCAGCAGTTTTAGTGAAGGGAGAAAGATGGCATATGTCACATGACGACAATGTAACAACGTGAGTTTGACACCCCTGGCTTAGACAAATCCCTGCAGTTTTTGGTAAGATTTTCTAAGTGGTTACCATTGCCTGCTTCCTAGAGCTGAAAGAATGATTGGCCCAAGATCATCCATCTAGCTTTGTGCCTTGGCTGCACTAGAATTCTTGGTCTCCCAGTTTCTAGTTGGTGCCTTAATCCTACACCAAATTGGCTTTCTCTTTAATATTTAATAATAAATTTAATATATTGTTCCTTATTTTACAGTTTGAGTTTTTCCTATGTCATGTTAGCTGCCCAGACTCTATATTATAAAGTGGGAGGCCACATAAATTTAATAAATGGTTAACCAACAAAGAAAGTGGTATCTCCTTTGCACGTGGAAGCATACCAAATGTATATTTGCAGGAAGAACTGAAATGTTTTCCTAGGCAAAGGCTACCAAGCAGATATATTTTTTCACACTATTGAATAGAACCAGCTGGACATGAAGTAGGAATTCCATGACTGCAACATCCTTTTTAAGGGTGCAGGAGGATCAAGGCAGTAATGCACATTTCACATCCATGTCTCTGCTTAAACTTCTTTGAATCAGGTATTAGCTCTGGGGGGTGGGAGAGGGAGAAAAATATGATTTTCCTCACAAGGAATAGCTTTTAAGAGATTCATACTGTGGAATCAGCATGAAGCGTAAGAATTGCTCCTCGACTCATACCTCAATCCTAATAGAAAATCTACAGATATACTAAGGCTCTTCAGAACCTCTGTTGACAAAGGAAAGAATATAGGAGATCCGACCATAAAAAATCTATATTACATTCAGTTGGATCAGAAGAGGTAGAACTTTTTCCAATCTTACCTCCATTCATAGGTTTTGCTTATGTTAATAAGTCTGCAAACTTATTTTTTTATCAGAGATAGCGTGGCATAAAATAACACTAGGACTTTGGAGGAGAAATATTTTCTGAATTTGATATTAAAACCACCCATTTTCAATATTGCTTCTTTGAGAGGATATTTCTAATTTTTCAAAAGGAGAAAGGGAGGGCGAGATAGGCTTTTTTCCTACCCAACCTGTTTGTGATATTATACCATAATAGCATCATAAAAGAACTTACCTGATGAAACACATTATCTGGATTAGTGATGTAGGTAGGCTTTATGATATGGTGCCTATAAAGCATGTTATTATTTGATCTAATGGTGATCCTCCTTAGGGATTACTGTTAAGGATCACATTTTCATTTGGTATTTGAAATATATTGTTGCACTGCATAATGTTCTTCTTTAAAGTACTAGACAGCCATGGTCTTCTTCAGGATATTCTGCTCCATGTACCACCCTATAAGAATTTTACTTTTCTGCAAAAGGAAACTACAGATACATGATAATGATATTGAACTAGCTGCTATTGTTACTTACCCTGTAAAAACAAAAACTTCAGATTCTTTAGCCTGCTAATCTGTAACAAGACCAAATTTATAATTCCATTATAGCCCAAATGGAGAACTTCTAAACTCTCCATTATTGGAGGCAAGCTTTCACTGACTCCTGTATCCCTAGAATAAAAACAGAGTCCGAGTCAGAATGAATCGCTTAGTAAAAACTGAATGTGGAAATAAAATTCTGCAAAGTTTTTCAGGACTTATGCTAGGCTTTTGAAACATTGTATGGGAAAATACATCCTGTTCTATTGTGCGAAATGAGGCAGTAATCTAAACATGAACTTTAAGCAATGACATGGAAATCCATTTTTATCCCTTAAGAAAATGGAAAAGAAAATGGGAATAGCTATAAATTACTTTTTAAGTTTTGTAAAAGGTTTATGATGATGATCTCTTAGCAATATTTTGACAATATCTCCAGCCAAATGGACTTTCTCCATTTCACTACGTTTTTTCAGTCTTACATTGGATGAGAATTTCTGACAGATGCCGGTATAAAAGCTGTTATTGACATATGATGTCCTTGATATTAGCACATCCAGTAGATTGAAAGACCGGCAATGAGTCATGCAATAACCTACAATGATTTATTTCATTACTGGGCCAGGGTCAATTGGTTCTCCTACTTAACTAGAATAGCTATGTCACAATTAAGAGTCATTTCTTACGTAGCTTGGCTCTTTGGAATCAATGACCACTAAATTATGTCAGCCCTTCAAGATCAAACTAGGAATCCAATGTCATATATGTCAGTACTACGTTTTCTGTAAATTTGAATGCATACACACCCGTTTAGCTTCATGAGAAGTAGGGAAAGTCTTGTCTGAGAAATTTACACAGGGTTACCTTTCCTGCCCTGGATTCAGTTCTTTTTTTATCGGACGGTTGTCTTGGTAGCAGCTCTTCCTCCTGTCCCTCAAGGCCATTCCTTCTACCCTCTCTAATTATGCTTAGCCATGAGCACAAAATAGGAGTAAAACTGTTTTCTTTAGCACCCTGATTTTTTCTTTAAAAAAATTCACCTTTTAATTGAATGTGCATATGCTGAAGTTATTATATGTGATGGGTATTTTAGTTTAGAGAATCATTTTTACTGTGATACTGTAATGTACTGCAACAGGTTATAATATTTATGAATTTATATTTGTACTGCACCTAATTATAATCACATGTTAAATAAGAAATAAAATCACTACTACTGGTACTACTACTACTGCTACTTTTCATTTCATCAACAGTTCATTGATCAGAAAACATATTCAAATATCTATAGCTAGCAACAATTTTCCAGGCTCTTTTCCAGGCAAATGAATTGCAGGTAAATATAAATAAAACAGAAATCACAGCAATTGCTTATTTATTGGAGATGTGGTCCACATAGCAATGAACTAAATACTGGCTTAGGATATTATTTTACTTCTCTTCTCAAGTAAGAATCTACTTAATACTTTGTTTAAACATTAAGGAATACATTAAACATTGTTCAGCAGGACTTATCAATTAATTCAAAAAGAAATAAATGAAATGTACAGTAGTAGCGTCAAGCCAGTAACAGAGCCAACAGTTGCAACATCCTGCCAATCATGAAAATTTTAAGTCAATTAGCAATTTTCAAACTTTACTTAGGTGGCTTGAATTGGAAACACCCCATTCTGAGTTTGAAAAACCATTTCACATTCAAAACAGACTGCTTCAATCAATGGGAAGTGTTTTGAGCTCAAAATAGTTTTGGCACATGGTTTATGCATCACCCAGACCTCCTTCAAGGAAATACGTAAGGTAAAATAAAAAAATATTACTCAAGACATAGATGGGATTAAAGAAGGGTTCATGGGTGACCAGTTAACCAATTCTATGCTCAGCAATTTCCTGTTACAAACTCACAACATGGTTTTTCTCCCAGAGTTGACCCTAGAGGGAAAATGATTTACTTGGAGACTAGTTCCAGTTCCAGGTAGAGTTCACTTCTCTCCAAGTAACTGCCTGTTCTTTTTGTTACTGATATTAAGGCTGTGTACCTGCTGCTTTTTGAAGACCCTTGCTGTCCATATCCACTGGACATCACTTTCTGATGTAGCAACTGTCTGTTTGTTAAGTGATTGGAAGGCTTTTGTCTTGGGAAAATGGACTCAATGTGATTGTAATTGAGGCAGAGAACCTGCATGAAAAATGGGATTAATTCTTCTCAGTTTAGATAATAAGCAGTAGGGCTAACAATTAACTACTGTATGTGGAAACTTAAGAGTACAAAAGATAATAATGACTTATATTTCTGCCCTGATTAAACATGCAGTGGCTGCTTCAAAAACACCCTTCCCCAATTAACATGCTAGGAAGAGCAGGAATTGATTCTACCTCATCTAAAGGGAGAGAAGGTTACTACAGTGGCAAAGGATCTTCACAGCGCAAATCAATAAAATTAATTGTGCCTATCTGTGGCCTATTTGTAGTTCTGGTAAACAATAATAAGACTACATTGTATTTCATTTTAAATTTCTTTTTCCAATGTATATGATATCACACAACAGTAGAAGTTTAATATTCTTGCTACCTAGAAATTTTTTCCCACATAGTTGGGCATTCTGGTGTTTTAGGCAAAATAACTCATCACACTACACTTTCTAAAAGAAACAGCTTCAACTGAGCCAACTTTCAGAGACAGCCTTCATTTATTTTTTTATATCTTTAGTAAAATAATGAGTGAGACAAAATTATGGGGAACATGAGAAGATTATATCTTCTTTTGTGCCAATAAAACCAATAAAGGTTTTATTGATCACTTTGGATTTTTTTCATAAACACATCCCACTGTAAAAGTCTTTTCTACAGTATCCTATCAATAATCCATTTTTCTGACATTTGTAATTTTGGAAATACTATGTTATCAGAATATTTTGCATTTCCTCTTTAATTTTGGAATTTCAGCAAGTTGAACTAACTTTGTAAAAAAGGCTACCCAAAATAAGACATTTTCACATATATAACTTGGCCAAAATCTTTAAAATGCTAATTAGTTAGTTAGTTAGTTAGTTAGCTTACTTTATTGTCATTGCACATGGTACAACGAAATTAAATGCCGTCTTCAGTGTACATTATAACTATAAAAATAAAAACACAAACATACATCCTTTACATTCTATATAATTGAAATTGAAAACCCAATACTGTACTATACTGTAGAATTCAATATGGTTATTGCCCTGGGATAGAAGCTGTTTTTAGCCTATTTGCCCTTGTTTTTATTATCCTGAGTTGCCAGATGGTAATAGTTCAAAAAAAGGATACCCAGGATGAGATGGATCTTTAAGAATGTTTTGAACTTTCTTAAGGCAGCGGGAGCTATAAAGCTCTTCCAAAGTGATGAGAGGGCAACCAATGATCCTCTGGGCAATGACGTTGACCCTCTGGAGTGCTATCCTATCTGCCACTGTGCAATTGGCAAACCATACACAGATACAGTAAGTTAAAATACTCTCTATGGTGCAGCGGTAGAAGGTCACCAGCCGTTTTTCATTCAGTTGTTGTTCCTGAGAAGTCTCAGGTAATAATGAATATACCAATAATGGCTTTGAGAGGAAGAAGGATGTTAAAATTTAACAGATGCAGATTTTTAGGAATTAGAAGTCACTTGATAACAGAATAACAGAATTGAAAGAGAGGTCTTCTAGTCCAATCCCCTGCTCAAGCATTCCAGACTGGCTGTCCAGTGTCTTAAAAGCCTCCAGTGATGGAGCACCCACAACTTTTGAAGGCAGTCACTGTGATGTTTAAGGTTCAGTTTGAAATTTCTCAGTCTGGTTTAGATGTTAGAGGGGAAAAAGCATTTTATGACTTAATACAAAATGTCATATAACATTTCCTGTGATCAGTTTCTGATGCTTGTCTGTGCTCTACAGTTCAACCAAGGCTAGTTTCAAGACAGATACATTTCTGAATATCTCCCTGAATTTTTAAGAACTTTTAAAGTACCTTAGAAGCCCTGCCATTGTTGAAGGCATTAAGGAATCTGGTAATGAAATATCTCTGAAATAATGACCCAAGGGGGGTGTCATGAGTTGTCTAGTAATGTGTGTGTGTGTGTGTGTGTGTGTGTGTGTGTGTGTCTGTCTGTCTGTCTGTCTCTCTTTCTCTGTCTGTCTGTCTATCTATCTATCTATCTATCTATCTATCTATCTATCTATCTATCTATCTGAGAAAGAAACTGATGACAATTCTTTCTTCTCAGTGCTATGATCATAAATAATCTGCTCAAGTAAAAGCCTTCCAAAGATGCAGAGAACCTCTCATGAAGGCATATTTGGACCAAAAATGGCTTGCTATTTATCATTGCCAGTAGTGGAAGTACTACACAGTTCAGTGATATTAAATTCATGCACATCTAGAGGATGTCTCTCATATTTGGGATCAAAAATATAGAAAATTGAGTGGATGGTGTATGCATACTAAAAATTTAGACAAGGGCTTGTTCCTGAGTCTATCCACAGTGTCCTCTAACTTCTCTTTAGAGGAAGCTTGAAGCAAGTACTGTGAATATTTCCATATATTCCCAGTATTTTGGGGGCACTTAATTGTAAATTATTTTTGATAGGCAATATTGCTGAAAATCAATAAATGAGGTAATAAATAAGCCATATGGAGAAAGAATCATTGTAACAGTAGTATGAAGTAGCCCTGACACATCTCAGGGACAGTACTGTAAGAATATCTACTACTCATGATAGGAAACTCACCTTAATATTAGGTAGGAAGATCAAACCACTGAAAGAGGTAAGATTATTGTTCTGTAAATTCACACTAGTGATGTTTTTAAACTGGTCTGCTGGCACAAGATCCACCATTCTGAGACAGACAAAAAGGGCATTTAGGGGAAAGAGGTGGTAAATTAAACATGATGCTTCTTCTGAGGCAGACTTTAGAAGAGCACATATATGAACTTTTTATTTATTTCTATGCAGATCTAATGCATTAGGATTAAAGGAAACACCTTCTGCCTTTGCAGTTATTTGCTTATTCAATCTAGAATTGTCTAACTTGACTGGTAGGAATGTTGCAGGTCCCAAGCAGATCACATTAGTATAGTTATACATCTGGAGATTTTAGAAACTCCTGCATGCAAAACCTGTACTGTAAGCATCTATGATAATTTCAACTCCTTCTGAAGCAGGGTGGGGGGGTGGCAATTTTTAAACAGGAAACAAAATAACAGAGTTGGAAGGGACCTTGGAGGTCTTCTAGTTCAACCCCTGACTCAAGCAGGAAACCCTATACCAGTGATGGCTAAACTTTTTGCCGTCGTGTGCCGAAAGCAGGGGGAACATGGTGGGGTCGTGCGCATGCGTGCCCACATCCATAATTCAATGTGCCCTGCCCCCCCCGCACTCCCCCCGCTTTTGGCCCAGTGGGCCTGGTAGGCCTGTTTTTCGGCCTCCCCAGGTTCCAAAGGCTTTCTAGGAGCCTGGGGAGCCCAAAAACGGCCTTCTCCACTCCCTGGAGGCCCTCCCAAAGCGGGCAACATCCCGTTTCTCGACTTCCGGTGGGCCCAGAAGGCCCAAAAATCAGCTGGCTAGCACGTGCATGCGCGCTGAAGCTGAACTAGGGCAATGCTCGTGTGCCCACAGATATGGCTACGCATGCCACCTGTGGCACGCGTGCCATAGGTTCGCCATCACGGCCCTATACTATTTCAGGCAAATGATTGTCCAATCTCTTCTTAAAACCTCCAGTGTTGGAGCACCCTCAACTTCTGGAGGCAAGTCATTCCACTGATTAATTGTTCTAACTGTCAGAAAATAGGTTTTCAATGCACAACAAGAAAGTGTTGCTTTCTTGTTGTGCATTGCTTGTTGTGCATTGCAAAGCATATTGCTTTGAAGTACAATATTTCCTTAAAACCCCTATAGTTCTGATTACCCAATTCCACATTCTCACAATTTACATGAATGGAAAAATATTTTCCCCAGATTCCCAACCTTTGGTGGAAAGAACGCTAAGTGAGATGAACCAATGAACTGATGCTGAATGTCAGAAAGCAGTTTTCTATGTTCATGCATCCATTAACTACTGATTGGCTCAACTATTAGCACAACAAAGGAGGCTAATTCCCCCTTCATGCCTTGCTAGCAATCTTCGATGGTGCAAATAGAATACTCAATACTTTCAAATGCCTCCAGGAATTTAGAGCCAACCTGGCTTCAAGGAAACTATATAGCTCATATAAAATACTCCAAGCCCTGCAACTTTTCACAGCAGCCTAGGCATTTATTCACAATGATTCTGCTGCTTTGTGCAGATGTGAATTTAGGCAGCAGTATCGAGATCAAGAAAAGAGGAAGAGTTAGGGATTCAGCTCTTGTTTGTCCAAGTTCTTCCAAAAAATAAAGCACAACCTAGAGTAGCTTGTTAATGGAAATGTTTTCCTGGAAACTTTCAGGAACTGTTGCACAAATAATTTTTATTACGTATATAGTAGAACAAATAAGTATTAGCAGTAAAGTGCTTTTTTAAACTCAGTTGACATCTCAGCCCCATCTTAATATATGACTGAGGCACACCCCTATTTCTCAGTCTACCTCATAGGTTAAAAGGTGTTAGGAAGAAAAGAGAACCATCTATGTTTCCCGTAGTATAGCAGGATCAAATGCAATAATTAAATATCAAATTAATATAAAATAGGAACTGATGGTACAGAAAGATGAATCACCATAAAGTTATTTTCACTTTAATATCTGAAAGCAATTCACCTGATCATAGAGGCTGTCCAATTTAATTCTTGCATTTTGCTGAAGTTTGAATGGCCCAGTCTTTCTGCCACCATATCAGCATTAAGTTTGCCACCAAACTGATCTTTCGCATTTTCTATTTCAGTTGCTTCCTATATTAACAGAATTTTAAAATGTAAGCTGAAAATGTATGTTATATTAAATATGGCTGAATTACAACCCCCTCAAGGAATTATGATTAATAGCTTCACTCAGGTGGAGGGAAATATTTATTGGGATACCATCAGGGGTGGGTTCTACTTACCTTTACCACCGGTTCGCAACAGGATCGCGCATGCGCGATTGCTTTGCTCGCGTGCGCACCTTGCTTCTGAGCATGTGCAGATCACTGATGACAACATCTGGGGCGGGGGGCGGGGCCTCACACTGGTTTTACTACCGGTTCTCGTGAACCGGTCCGAACCAGGGGCAACTCACCACTGGATACCATGTCATTAGGCTCTATGACCCTATAGACCTTATCCCCATTCCATTCAATTTACTATTCTATACTGTTTCTCTAGAGATCCCTCGTCTCATTTCCATGAAACCACCTGGGTAGAAATGATCTTTTGTTTATTTCAACAAATATTTTCTTTTTAACACACTACTCACTCAATCTTTCTACCAGCATTTGCATATCTTAACTGCTTTCTCTGCTTTCCCATTTTTAGTAAACAGTCTACCAAGGTATACAAATTCATGTACAATCAGTAATCAGTTTACAACCACAATTGGGACCAGAAAACTGGTTGTATGTTATTACAGTTATGATTGTTGGAGGCTATATATACATTTATTCATGTCCGTCTGTCTGTCTGTCTCTATCTGTCTGTCTTATCTATCTTCTCATTCTCCCCCTTGTTCTTCTCTTTCAAACTAGGCATTTGAAACTTACCACAGCAACACCATCCAAGGCTTTCAGAGAAGAAATATGAAAAATGACAAAAAGGCGGTAATTTTCTTGCTTCCAAACAATCAAATTTCCATAAAAGTCCAGTATAGCTAGATTATTTAGCCCCTAGGAAGCAAATCAATGAACTCAAAATTAAATGTACAATTAAAGAAAAGGGAGAATCCCAAGATAATGCTTTTGAGGTGGATTACAAAACATGAAATGTAATGATTATTATTTGTAGTAAAATAGATTATACGGAAGAGTTTATTTGGAATTCTCATACATTTTATGCCTCAAAATGTTTTTAAGGGAATTTGTGTTTTAAGTTGAAATAGTTAATATCTTTTTGGCATCTACACAGACCAAAGCTGCTTACTTAGGAAGCAATCTGCATTGCTAGCAAAAACATTGAATTCTGATGAGAATACTTTCTCTACAGACATGGTTTGTTACCATATTTTTATATGGAATTATTGCTGCCATCTACTATTAGTGCTTTGATAATAATTTAAAAAGAGTAAGAAATGAATACTGAAGTATATTGGGAAAAATTTTGGAATTATTGTATTGAAATACTTTGCCAACACACCTCTATAGAGAACTGAAATTGATGTCTTCTACTTTTTTTTGGGGGGGGGGGGCTAAGAGGTAAAAAAGTACAAAAGGAAAAATATTAAGGAAAAAAGTGGATGGGAAAAAATGCCTCCTTGTATCTCAATAAAAATTCGGCTAGAGCAGTTTTGAACTTTGATGCAAGTATCAAAGCTATATTAACATCATATTAATGATACCCAATGAACTGTTATTTGTTAAATAATAACTGCTCAACTCATAAGACTTTATTTTTCTTACTTCACAGCTACATTGTAGGCAGTATCAACCTTCCATACTCTAATGCGCTTAGATGGATTGAGGCTATATTTTCCTCAATCAGCATGCTGTCCCTGAATTCTGCATGTTAATGCATTTATAGGATCGCAGGTAAGAATAAGCTATGTAGAACTTGTCACTGTGATGATTTTTGTTAATAGGTTAAAGGAGCAACATCTTCATTTTAACATACAAATGTTACCTTTAATTGATATATTTCTTGGTTTGAGGACACATAGTTGTTGCTTATGTAGAGTTCAATGAGTGCATAGGCCTTTTGTAAACCTCCTAATGATGTGATCCGGTTGTTTTCAAGAGAAAGGTAATGGAGATGCGACAGGTTATCAAAGACATTTCTCTCCAGGGTGGTGAGGTGGTTGTTGTTGGCACTCAGTCGCATGAGTTTGGAAAGTTTTGAAATACCTGGTAAAAGGAAAAGAACAAACCTTCTGAACAGATAGGAAACAGCAAGAGAACAGCATCACAGCTGGTACGGAAGTGATAGACAAGGAATCACTTTGATCTACAACTTCAATTCATCTTCTCTAACTAATACCCCAAACAAATGCTTATAGTCTACTTTTATTTACAGGATATATTTGCATCCAAACACTTTTAAGTTGCCTATGTATTAAAAATATATAAAACGTTCTCTCTTTCTCTCTCTCACACCCACACACACCCACACTCACACACACATATAGATTAAAACAAGAAGCAAAATAAAATGCAATAACAAAGCCAATAAAAAGAATCAGTCAATTAAACTTCCTGAAGCCAAAATGCCAGACAGAATAAGGGAAAAATATTGCGACCCAGAGGAAATTCTGTAAAATGTGAACCACAAGAGTTGCAAGGGTACAAGACAAATCTCTGATTTATGAACTATGAGCAAACCACCTTCTAATTAACTCCATTATCCCAGCTACATTTGCCCATTACTAACAGATCCCTCCACACTCCCTCTACCTTTTCCTCCTCCTCCTCTGTATATGAGATGAATGTATATACATGGGAAATTAGGTGTATCAGAGAAGAGATCCTTTTTTCCCCTCACATATTCCTTAGTTAGTTTTGAGTATGCAAATCAAGAGAGGTGTGAGAGAATGGTAATCATTATAAGTATATATGCCTTACAATTTAATAGTAATTTTAATTTGCTATCCATTTAAACATCATTTCATGCTCCTGTACCCCCTTTTGCAGATAATCCCTGGTATTCCACTCAAGAACTGTTACTTTACACCTATATTGAATGAAAGTTCTCAATCCTGTTCTGGTGGCAAGAAACTTCATCATCTCTGTGCAGCCACTGAAAAAGTGATGTGTCCTACATATGAAGCTTGTGATGTATTTGTTCCTTGCTCCATGTTAATATGATTCTATCGCACTCCAAATAAGAAGAGTGGGAGCCTCTCTCAAGTTTCATGTGAAGGAAAATAAACTGTCTAGTAGTCTTGCTACATTTCATATCAGCTTAAGTTGTTGGATACCACTTTTCAAAATGACACCAATAATAGTATGCTTCAGATGCCATCACCACCCCATCCCCAGCTGTCAAAGCAAGATAAGATATAGTCCAAACAAAAAATGCACAGGCCAGGGTTAGAAGTGTCTTTTGGAGAAATGGAAATATTGAGATATGTAAAATGACAGCTGTGCAAGTTCTCAGGTAAAAGCTACCATATCCCCAAAATACAGCTTACAGAATTAAAAACAGAAATATATTACCTTCAAGGTTTACAATGCAGTTTCCATCTAATGTGAGTTCCTCCAGATTAAGGCAATGATCTAAACCTTCTATTTTAGTCAGATTATTGTTGCTGAATGATGCCCATCGCAAATTCTCTAGCTGTTCTAGCCCACTGATTTTGCAGAGATGCTGTCCATCCAGATCTAATACAGTAATCTGTTTGGGGGGAAAGAGCCACACACAATTCCCTCTGTAACAAACATCAAGTGACTATAATAGCAACTATAATGTAAGGGGAACTGTGGGAAGTGCTTTGCGACTGTTGGATGGTATGCCACATCCCCTTCTCTCTGATCACTCCATTGCAGCCATTTTGTCCCAGTCTGCCTTTTTCATTAGTTCCTTTCATCTCCCACTCATCCTATTTTTGACACTAACTTTTCCCTGGGTTTTCAAGAAGTTAAGAGTATAGCAGACCAAGAATCAGCCAATGTAATATAATCATTGAACTGTTGGGCATTGGCTGAGGAAGACCCTGGGTTAGTCAAATTTTTTTCAGCCTAATTTATCTCAGAAGGCTATTATGAGAGTAAAAATGGATAACACACGTACACTTTGCTGGAGGTTTTGGGAGGGAAGAAGTGTGGGACATAGGTGTATTACACAAAGAAGTAAAATTATAAGTAAAGGAGCAAGTGTAGCAAGTGAATACAAGAGCAAAAGATGTGGCATCCTGCCAAAAGATAATATAGTATGAGTGTAAAATTATTCCACTAAATAGAAATTGGGAAAAAGAAGTAGGGGGGACTGGAATATTAACAAAAGTGAAGCACTGTGTGGTGGAGTTCCCATTTCCCCTCCACACTCCTTACACTAGAATGCCAGTTGTTCTGAAATACATCCACTTTGTTATTGCTTATCTGACTCAAGATTTTGGCATACGGCAAGACACTAAGGATATGCAGCTTCTCCTGATCTGTCCGAGAACACTCTATCAGAGACATCTGGAGAATAAAGACAATCAGATTAAATGGTACATTAAAATAAAAGCATATGTTGCACATTTCAATTACAAGATTATACAATTTAGTAATTTCCAGTTGCATTTTTTGCACTAAAACAGAATTATTACATACACTGTTAACTCTGCCTTTAGTTCTATGAGGTATAATAAAATTCTCCCCCAACCTCATCTTCCTTTATCTCAAAGGGTTTTTGCTGCTTTCTAGTTATGTATCTCAGTTTTGAGATTACAAATGGTACTCATATGTACAGACACTAAAATGGAATAATTTTCTGAAATGGGTTGTTATTTTGTGAATAATTGATTCCAAAATGTCTTAAATGTCCATAAAGTATAATATTCCTAGAAAACAATTACACAATGTTGAAGTGTAAAATAACTGAGTCAGCTAGAGATTATACCATGAGCAATTCAACATATTCTTTCAAATAATACTGAGAAAAACATGCCAGTTAAGTGCTGCTCCAGTTCATAAAGCTCAAGGCACATTACATTGTTTTCCAGGATGTCATTAAAAACCTTGCATTTTTAAAAACAGCAGTAACCATGATGACACTTAAAACTAGATTTCAATTTGCCTATAATGTTGTAAGCAATGTACAATTATCATTTTAAGAAACAAAGAACCATCAAACCTCGGTGATTTTGGAGTCTGTTATATATTGAATAGCAGCTGCTGCCTCTTCCCCAGTAATCAAAATTCCATCAAGGTGTCTTAGAGCTCTCAACTGGCCAATCACACTCAGGCGCACAGAGGCTGGCTTTGGGAGAAGAGAAACAGGGAATGGGATGCTGTGCTCTAATTTCAAACTCTTCAATGATCACCTCTGCCTGGAGTAATCAGCTTCAGGCTACTTCCACAGCTTGCTTCTCTTTCCTTCTCTCACCCTACTGCTCTCTGGTTCTGCTTACACCAAAATCTTTCCAACAGTTTTCCCTTATTAACACAATATTGTTTGTTTTGATTTCAGATTCCAGTTCTAACTTAATTCCTTGCCACACTAGTTTGAATGCCTCTTTGGCATTTTTATTAGAAAAATAACTCCTGGAAACACACATTTAAAATTCTTCTGTCTTCAGAAATGGATGGAGCTGAAACATTCTTTGCTGCAGGCTTGACACACCTATTTTAGTCTTGCATTATTTTAAACAGGACAAAATTGTGCAGCTTAAAATTACCAACAAAGGGACAGAGTGCTGCAGAGTGTCCTGTAATCTGCTCAAAGCTGCATTTTATGATGGAAACAGATACACATCAGAAGTTGGACCAACTTAAGCTTCTTTTAAAGGGCTATTGATTTGCCTTGATTGCTGAAGTGCAAATCTTCTGTTTTATGATCATGTATTGGATGTTTCCAATTGTAGAATCCTTTTTAAGACAATTGTCCTTCTAGATGGAGTAACAGGCAGTAGACCCAGAAATGATTGTATTCATGACAATGTGAAAATGTTACCTTGTCACATCAAGGAAGCAATTTCTTGTTTACAGCCACAGGACCCTATCCTTTGGAATAGCATGCACCTCCCACCCTGAGGTACATGTGACTCGAATGCTTCCATTTTTCCTGACATTTCTTATGACCTGGCTCTTTTCTCAGACTTGAATTTAGAGTTTGTGGAGCCCTGATCATTTTAATTTGGGGGTGGGGGGGTTGTTATGTGCCTTTGTCTATATGGTCACTTTTCTTCAAATTATGATTTTTTAAAATATTGTAAGCAACTCGTCTTTTTGGAATTGAGTGGCCATGAAATCCAATAAACAAACTCTGATTAAAGCAGACTTACATATAATGCAGTAACAATTGCAGCTGATTGAAATGTACCTTATGCCATGGATTATGCCTGATATCCAAACTGAGCAACATCGGTGTATGTTTACGCAAGACACCAATTTCTTCTGCTGGCTTTTTCAGCTGATTCCAGCTTAAGTCCAAATACTTCAGTTTGTTTAATCCTCTAATGCCTTCAAGAGTTATGACGTGGTTATGGCTGGCATCAAAATATTCCAAGCTGGGCTATAAAGTATTCAAAAGCAATGATAAATTCATTTTTTTTATCATGATAGCTTTCATAACTTTTATTTCCCTCTCTTCCTGTCACCTCTTCCCTCAACCATTCTTCACTTTTCCTTCCCAATGTTGCTAGCCTTTCTTTTAGGAGTAGTGGGGAGTGGGGATTGGTGCCTTCACGACATTTTCTTTTTACTGCTGGTAACTGCCTGGACTAGTTCCTGTACATTTCTTGGCAGTGGCACTTTTTAGAAGTGGTTTGCCATTGACTCCCTCCTAGGGCAGAGAATGATTGGCCCAAGGTCATTCAGCTGACTTCATGCCTACTGCAGGACTAGAACTCATAATCTCCCAGTTTCTAGTCTGATGCTTTAATCACTACACCAAACTAGCTCTTGCTTTCAGAAATTACTGGATTCTTGACACTTCTTCTAAGTACCATGGTGAGTTGACAATTTGTTGGCTTTTGCTGGCTAGAAAGGCAGTTTTTGAGAAGGGAATTGCTGGTGGATGCTGATCCGAGCCAACATGATCTCTCCTGAAAAAAGGAGATATAATTGATTTTCAATGTATTTAAAATATATAATTTTGGGGGGATTATGCAGCAAAAGAATGGATCTTGGAAATAATGAATTAAGGAGGCAGAGGGATTTGGAATGACAGTTTTGAATTATTTAGAAGATTTTTTTTCATGGAAAAATCGAGTTAACTTTCATTTCTTTTTGATAAGGAATCCTTGAAGGTTGGACATTAGAGACCAAAGGATAAAGAAAACAGGGCAGAAATCCTTAGTGCACACTTTTGAATAGCTTTCAGCCAATTTTTGGACAAAATGGATTAAACCCTTGATAAAATTGACAGAGCATGTTCTAATGAAGTTGTTGATACAGTTGACAGACAGATTCTAATGAACAATAATAAGCTGCAATGGATGTCTATGAATTTAATTTGAAGGGGATTTAAATGTAATACAAATGGATCTGATGGATGACTCATTCCCCTATGACTCATTCCCATACAGGAGATAAGCAGATATCAAATCAAGTAAGTGAACTGGATTTTTTTCCTTTGGATAGACAAGAGAGCTCTGCTAAGATTTGGAAAGACTTTTTTAGAAGGATAAATTGTACATATTACAATCTGTTAAAGTACTAAAAGATTTCCACACAGATGAGCAGCAAATTACCTCTAAAGCTTTTTGGGGGAGGGGGTTAAAGAATATTTTTTTAAAAAATCAGGGAAAATTTATAAGATAGGTTTATTGAACCAGGGTTAAAAGAAAAGAGTTATATCGAGTTACCCTTACTGGACTTTTTCTGACAAAGATTAATTGACATAGCATTTGGACCTTGGAGAGAAGAGAGATTATGTTTTATTTAGTGACAGTGATAAAGTTATTAAAATTATTTTTACCTGCTGTGATGAAGTTGAGGCCTTGGAATGATATATGCTGGAATTGCAGTTATTGAGTGAAGCAGTCACGTGACATGTCACTTAACAACCACTTTGCTCAACAATTGAAATTCCAGTCCCAATTGTGGTTCTAAGTCAAAGATCACCTATACTGCACTTTTACCATAAACTGATAGAAAACCAAGAGCCTTTAAAATGAAAGGAAACTTTCAATAGACTGATCTACTACAAGGCTTGCAACTGAAAACATATGACGGCTATAGAAACAAATGCTTGTTCTTAAACAAAGACCTTTTTCAAAGGGCAATTTTTAGTTAGGTTTGTGTGTCACATTGTAGATAATTAGGACAAGGATGTGGTATTTGGTTCACATTATAAACTTGAATCAAATTATATTATCACAATATCCATCTTCCAATTTGGGTGCATATTCCAGACTCATACTTAGCAAAATCAATTTTCCTTCACCAGAAGTCACTTGCAAATACATGAAATCAAATTGCTGTTTTATCCACAAAAGAATTTTGGGGAAAGATAAGCAAAATCATTCCTCGGTCCTGCAATTATCTTTTTATCCTCATTTCATCTTCCCCAAATTATTGAAACCCCACCCCCCCACCCCATAATTTTGTCCTCCAGAACAGAGAGAGGCATTTACCCAAGCCGTAAAAAATTTTTATGAAAAAAAGTATTTTTCTTACCAAGTGGTAAACATCATCTAAACAAGTAAATTCATTGAAACTGATAATAAGCTTGCGAAGTCCAGTGAGTCTGGAGATATCTCGGAGTTTAGTAAGCCGGTTTCCATGTAGATTCAGAACCTATATTAGTAGGAAAACAGGAATTGTTTATTGATCTGTTAGTATTTAAGGGATGATGGTTGAGTGTTGTGCAAAGTTTTCAGAGCCATGTTGTTTGAAAACAACTATAAAAGTTTCCCTAGTCCATGTATGTGCATGGACATGTAGGAAGCTACAGTGAAGTAAAACAGTTGTCATGTCACAGGACTCATGCTGATTCTGAAGAAGATGTTCCAGTTGAACTGGGGAATGTCAGGAAACCCAAAGCCAAGAATCATCTAAGGCTGATCAAACACAAGTTCTATATGAACAGCTGGAGCAATCTGATCATGACAGCGTAAGGCCTCACACTCAATAAGCACAGCGGAGAGCAGAGGAAAGACATTCTATGAGGTTTCTTGCCAAGTAAGGGAGTACATTTCTTGATTAAACACAGCTGGAGCAGTCTGATTTACCAGGCAAGCCTGACCTATGTTCTGTTGTTTGAAGCAGCTATCTGATTTCTGGGTCTTGTATGGACTCAGCTGTGGTAGTGCAGTGATTAGAATGCAGTATTGCAGGCTAATTCTGCCAACTGCCAGCAGTTCGATTCTCACCGGCTCAAGGTTGACTTAGCCTTCCATCCTTCTGAGGTTTCTAAAATGAGGACCCAGATTGTTGAGGGCAATATGCTGTAAACCGCCTAAAGAGGTCTGTAAACCACTGTGAAGCGGTATATTAGTCTAAGTGCTATTGCTATTGCTATTCTGCTTATGAAACTAATCTCTGGAAGGCTGACAATCCTAAATTGGCTCTTGGAATTTTGAGCTGGATTTTGACTATTCTTCTATGTGCTCCTGTTGATTGCCATAACAATTGTGTGTGTGTAATTGAAGCCTAAAGCAGGACATAACTGTGTATGCAATGTAGATGGGGGGGAGGGGTGGGGGCTTCAAGGCAGCTATGCTCTGGAGGATGTAGCTACATTAATGCTTCAGGAATAGTGTTTTGCCCATACCAAAGTCATTTACAACCCTTCCCTTTCAAATGTTTGCCCAGCCATCTCTTAAAATTATTTAGATATCCTACTTCAAAAGAATTGCTATCCCTAATTTCAACATTTGAATGATTTATGTTGAAAGAGGTAGTGCTTTTCCAAAATATGATTCCAATAAATTGTATGCATTCTTGGAATAGTTTTCTTGATGTATTTTCAAAACCAACCTTTTAATGTCAAGACCTTGTACCTCAATTAGAAGTATTCAATTCATGAAAGAAAGGTAATTTCCTAACAAATGTTCAGGTCTTTAAAAAGACTCAAGACAATCACTTTATCCCTACAATGTAAATAATCAAAGCAACTACTACTTTGATTATAGTCCAAATTACATAAAATAGATACAAAGGCAGGTTTACTTGATACTATTCTTGAGCTTGGGAATGGGAAAACATTCCTTTGTATTTCATCCTTCTATTTCAAAACATTCATGTGGATGGAATGAACTAGATTGTCCCTTTTCCATTAAGCTCTTTCCCCAGGTTTTTCTGTTAGGTTCACTTCTGATACTGAAGCTCCAATCATTACTAAAATGTATAGAGAATAGCAGCTTATGATACATAGTAAGATATAGTTCCCAACATGGGAATTCTCCAGCTTTCATTTTACTTCCAAAAAGCCTGATAATTATTTTGATAGACCAGAAATATACTATCCATATCATGTTGTTGAAAAATACTTCCACTCCTGTTATTGTAATGCTTCCTTGATTGATAGGGCTGTCCAATTTGTAAGAATGATTCTGGGCAATTTACAATTTGAAGAAATAATAAAACCAGGAATTAAAAATACAATGCTATCTAGTATATTATCAGAGGATAAAAACAGAATAATGAAGTAAAAATAATAGATGGCAACAAACCAGCCTATATACTGAACAAGGGTTTTGCACTCTATATGAGTTCATTCCATCATCTAGTACAGTGATGGTTAAACTTTTCGGCACTGAGTGCTGAATTGGAGTGGTTGTGCACAGGCGCGCATTGGAGCACCAGAACCAGGAAGAGAGTCGCTGGCCGGTGTGGCAGCCAGCTGCTGTTCTGGGTTCCATTGCACACATGTGCACCGGCCAGCGGCTCTCTTCTGGGTTCCAGTGCACGCATGCGCACCAGCCAGCTGGTCTCTGCATGAAGACAGCAGCTGGCCAGTGTGCATGGGCACGATGGAATCTGGAAGAGCAGCTGGTGACGATGCATGTGCCCACAGAGAAGTTCGCCATCACAAATCTAGTCCAATGCTTACGGAAAGGGCCAGGTCTTTAGGGCCTTGTAGAAGACAGAATAGTCAGGGTTATCCAAACCTCAGAGAGAATGATGTTGTATGGGGTGGGCACTTCAACAGAAAAATCATACTCTTTGAGTGCCACTAGGTAACATTGTTTCTTGGAAGGCAGCCAAACATACCTATTCTGCCAGATCTTTTGGGCTTAGCATAGGCAGGTGGTATTGCAAGAAATTAAATTAATCTATTAGATTGTTTTCTTGTGAGACCTTTTTCCCCTTTTATCTAACGTGATCTGAACATATTTATTCTGTGAAATCCCCACATGTCCTTTATTTTATCCCCAGTCCATCAATGAGACAGACTTAATTTGCCTTTAGTTGTACCACTGTTACAATAGCATTTTCTCCATATTCCTTCTAAAGACATCCCCAAATGCATAAGCATTGGCCTTTCCCATCTACTACCTTGGAGGAAAATCAGGTAATTGGCAGTGACTGGAAACAGAAGCAATACAGCCAAGATAACCAGTAGCAACAGAGGCAGTAAATGTAATGTCAATATTGTATGCTTTTCTACTAATTCAGGATACTGGATAAACTTCAACTCAGAGGTGGGGAAAGGCAGAATCTAATTTTCATTCTGTAACAAAGCAGATGAAAACAGCTACTCACAACAATCTGACTATAAATATTGGCCTTGGAGATTGCCATCACAGTTTTTTCATCCAAGCAAATAATTTTGGGCTTGGGCTTAATTATTGGTTCCATGCTTAACACTTCATCATCATGTTGGAGATCCCGAGAAAATACAAAGCCTGCTGAATTTCGCCTTCCATCCTCCCCAATCACATTGCTGGGTGAGGAGAATAAAGCCTCCACTTTGACCTGTAAAAAAGATCAGGAAAGATTTTTTTAACATGCTTGGTCGACGTGAAAATTTTGGACACCATTACATATAATAACGCTGAAGATTTTAAAGATTAATATGCAATCGAAGCCAGATTTATTTTGGGTGAGACTGATGGATAAACAGTTGGAAAAAAATGGATCTTTGTTTTTGTATATGATAACTTTAGAGAGACTATTATCTGCACAAAAATAGAAAGGTTTGACTTTACCCATAATGGAGAAATGGCTGCTGAAGAGGATGGGATTTGCTGAGAGAGCCAAATTGTCAGCTTTAATTAAGAGATGTCTAAGTTTAATTTTGGTTGAAAACCCCTTATTGACTTTTTGCATGAAACAGGAAAAAGTGAAATTATGTATGGGTTTGATGCTTAGAAAAAAAAGTAAGAGTAAGAGATTAATTTACATTAATGTTTATAACTGCTTTTAAAGAAAATTGGAAGTCATTTCTTTACATTCTTATTTTCTCTTTGTTTTCTGTCCTTTTGTCTTTATTTTTTTTCTTTTACATCAGAGCTCTCTGTTCATAAGAGTTCAGTATTAGGAACAAGCTAAGATCCTGCACAGAACTGTCAAACTCCCAGGGTCCCATGGTGGTAGAAGTCTGAGGAAGACACAGACCACCCATAAGGGTGAGAATGGAATTTTTATTCATACATACATAACACGCACACATAAACCAAAAGGCCAGAAGAGTTTTTTCTTTCTCAATAATTAAAACAGACATAACAAACATTATTTCAATACAATATTTGGTGGAAGCAAAATATGTACACTCAAAATGAATTGTTTTCACTTTAGTCTAGGAACAAAACAAAATAAACAAGCATAAACGATTAACTATTTTGGATTTTCCTTTACTATGCATATGTAATATGGATTATAACAAGGGGACAAAAGAATGAATTTCCTTCCTCCTTCCTGGAATGAAGGGACATCAATATAATCATACAATTTTTCTAATTGTAAATATTTACATCTAAGTCAAAGACAGCCTTATGGTACTTGAAAGAAATTCACTTATATGTGTGTACTTTTCATGCAGTCTTTTACCACAGAATGCATGGATTATTAATTTGAGAACATGTATGTAATTATATATCTGTATCATCCTCATCCTCCTCTTTTAACGACCCCATAGTCCTTTGAGGGGTGGATTCTGGGCAACTGTATGGAGCTGTGTGTTTACTGGGCTGATGCCCTTCCTGTCGCCAATGTGGAGGGTTTTTTTCAGCAGATATATTCTCTGTGTGCCCAGAGAGAGAAATATCTGCCTCTACCTGGGATCGAACTCTCAGTCTCCTGAGACTGAGACGAAAGCTGCACCTCTAGGCCACCGCACCACTCATGTAATTATATATCTGTATGACATATACATACTTTCTCATTTGGGACATACACTTGAAAAGTGGACTATAGTCAATAGAATGATATTCCATAATAAACATTTAATTTTTAAAGTATAAAGCTGTAATTTGTCAAATTAAGATTCAGTTCCTTTTGCAAAAAAATAGTCTGTCTCAATGCACAGTTTAGAAAGGTATTACTACCCTATTTTCCCCAAAATAAGACATCCCCTGATAATAAGCCCAATCGGGCTTTTATTTATTTATTATTTATTTATTATTCCAATTTATATACCGCCCTTCTCCCGAAAGACTCAGGGCGGTGTACAGCCAAAAGTAAAAGCACACAAATATAAAATTTAAAAACGATTTAAAAACATATTAAATAATTTGGCCCAGCTATTCAAATAAAAACCCCATTTTAAAATTTCAAAATTAAAAAGTTAAAAAATTAGGCCAGCCCGGCTTGTTGGAATAAAAACGTTTTGAGGGCACGGCGAAAAGTGCGCAAGTCAAGAATCCTCCGTATCCCGGGGGCAGTTCGTTCCAGAGGGCAGGTGCCCCCACAGAGAAGGCTCTCCCCCTGGGGGTCACCAGTCAACATTGCTTGACTGACCGCACCCGGAGGAGCCCCTCTCTGTGGGAGCGTACTGGCCGGTGGGAGGCTATTGGTAGCAGCAGGCGGTCTTGTAAGTACCCAGGTCCTAAGCCATGGAGCGCTCTGAAGATGGTAACCAGCACCTTGAATCGCACCCGGAAGACCACCGGGAGCCAGTGCAGCTCGTGCAGGAGAGGTGTTACATGGGAGCGCCGTGTCGCTCCCACAATCACCTGCGCGGCCGCATTCTGGACCAGTTGGAGCCTCTGGGTGCTCTTCAAGGGGAGCCCCATGTAGAGAGCTTTACAGTAGTCCAGGCGGGAAGTGACGAGGGCATGAATGACCGTGCGCAAGGAGTCCCGATCCAGAAAGGGACGCAACTGGCGAATCAGGCGAACCTGATAGAAGCCCCCCTTTTGAGTGCATGGCAATAAGGCCAAGCGCTTATTTCAGGGTTCAAAAAAATATAAGACAGGATCTTATTTCCAGGGAAACATGATATACTATACTATAACTTTCAGTTTTTTCAGAAATAATAGTGTAGGATTAACTCTGGAACTCCAAATTTTAGATTATAAACTACTCCTCTACTAATATCAAGAAACTGATGTGTCAGCTGATGTGAACCCAGTGGCTACATTTACATAATATATGAGTTTATTCAATAATCAGATTAGGTCTGTAGTGCAAATGAAATGAACTTTATTAATTTGTCAATATGCTCCCAACTCTTCCACTAGCAGAATGCTAATGCCAATATTACAATTAAAGATGATCTCCTTTAACAGGGTCAGAAATGATGGCTTGAAGCAGGTTTTAGCTTCAGAGTTAAAGGAACCCTGCCTATTCTTGATCATACCTGCACAAGTTACATTTATCTGTTTCTTTATTATTTATCTCTATCTTTCTGCTTTACCAGGAAGAAATATCCATATTTAAAACTGGCTTTGAATTTATGAAACACGCTAACATAGAACAATATTTGAACCTACTCTACTTAAATCAGCATTTTTAATTTAATCTACTATCAACATTCTTATTTTTTTCTGTCAAAAGACAACTAACAAAACTAATTGCAAATTGTAACAGTTGATAGTCCATAATTTATAGGTATTCCAGAAAAAGAATCTAATAAAAGCCTTGCTGGATTAAACCAAGGGAGCATCTAGTCCAACAATCTTGGACTCTTGGCTTTTAAAGTTCTTGTTCTCTTTATTTTTGTTACTCATTTTCCTACTGCAATCACTAGGTTCCAGATACTTATAAATGAAACATGCTCCTTTAAACTTTATGTTTTCATAAAAGGGACTCAGGCCACCTTCTATGTTATAGTATCCATATATTATAAAACAAATTCTCTGTTGATATTAGATAATTAGTTTAGACTGGAAAGAAAAGAGATGAATTAAGAGAAGAAACCAAGCAAATAGTTATGGAGATAAAATAAGGCTACTAAAGAAAGAGAATCATATCCTTTGACACATGGTTTCCTTATTTTTGTGTCTTTCTCAAAGTTTAAGTTTTTAAATAATAAGACTGCAATATAAAACCTATATATACTGATCACAAAAGAGAACTATTCCTGTTTCTGAGATTATCTTCAGTTTTCTGAATAATCTACTATCTGACTGTACCCTGGAAAATAATTTTTTATTAAAGAGATCTTCTCCAGTATTAAGATGAGGGTCTCTGGAAGAAAATTCTCTATTTCATTTGACTACATATGAATACATATTCATAGTTAATCTAATTAATTCTATAAATGAAATAATAATTAGTGAACTGATAGCTAATAGATATTCCATACCTGTGTGACGTACTCAAATTCAATGACGTACTCTGGCAAAACAAGCTCATGATCAAACACAAACCATTCACACTGTCGGAGGCTACAGTCACAATTCTTGCATTCCACAGAAGAACATGATTCGGAAGCTAAGGAAAAGGACACAATATGGTTCTCTTGTTTGTTTTTACTTTTATACAATGTATCTTAGAAGATGATAACGGGGATATTTTTACTAAAATTCAAAGAAACCCTAGATGAAAACTTCTGGCTGTGAGGTATAATTTATTTATTTCATTTTTATATCCTGTCTTTATTACTTTTATACATAGCTCAAGGCAGAGAACATATGTAATGCTCCTTCTTGTACCTATTTTCTCCACAACGTCTATATATTACATACTATACTATATACTATACTATATATAGTATATATACACTATATATGTGTGTGTGTGTGTGTGTGTATGCCGTTAGTAACAGCAGTTACTGCAAAAGACCCCTCACATAAGACTGATGATGGCAGATGAGATTCTGTCGAAACGTCGCTTCCACCCTTTTAGGGATATGTTCATAATTACACGGGAAGAAACCCGAAATATTAACTGTACACACACACACATATATATATATATATACACACACACACACAATTTATATTTTGCCAAAATGGTTTGTCGTGAATGCAACTGCTTGAGGGCTTCTGGATTGGAGCTGGCAACGTTTCGACGAAGTCTCATTCGTCATCTTCAGGCTGGTGTCTTCGGCTTCGTGCTTCTAGGAGCAATGTGTGTGATCGCAGCTGTTTCTTCCTTTTAACTGCCAGTGGGGGTGTGAACTGATTGGGTGGGAGCTTGGCTGTGTTCTGATTGGGTGGAGGTGTGTTCTGATTGGTTGGGGGTTTGGCTGTGCTCTGATTGGATGGGTGTGTGTTCTGTTTAGGTGGGGGCTTGGTTGTGCTTTGGTTAGTCTGAGTAGCAGGGGGATTTGAGCTGGTGAGCTGTGTTGCTGTTGTTTGGATTCGTGTTCGTGGCTGTGCTACCTCTTCATGGTGGGTGTCAGTCTGCTTCATGCATGGATTGGAGGGGTTTAAAGGGGCTAATGATGCAGCTGTGGTCTGGCTTCTGGTCCGCGGTCGTGCCTCATCCTCAGTGTGGGTTTGAGTCTGCTTTCTGCGTGGATGTGTGGTGGTTACATCCTGTGTGGCTCTCATGAGTGTGAGTCTGGTGTCATTCTTTGTGTTAGGGACTCATTTGTCAATAAGGGCGGGTTTCCAAATGGCTGGTAGGCGGGAGGTATCATCTCGTTTATTCATGCTGTGTGGACGTTTTTCTATCTTGATGGCTTCTCTGATTATTCTGTTGTTAAAGTGTTCGGTTTTGGCGATAGTTCTGGTCTTTTTAAAGTCAATATCATGTCCTGTGGCTTTGAGGTGTTGGACCAGGGAAGAGGTTGGTTCCTCTTTTTTGACTGAGTTCTTGTGTTCTTCAATGCGTGCACTTATTCTTCTGTTGGTTTGTCCAATGTATGTGGTGGGGCAGGCGGTGCATGGGATTTCATATACTCCTTGATTTTCTAACTCAATTTTGTCTTTGGGGTTTCTTAGGATGGTGGATATTTTTCGGTTTGTACAGTATGCTGTCTTGATGTTGTGTTTGTGGAGGATCTTGCTGATTCTATCTGTGGTGCCTTTTATGTATGGGAGAAGGGCTTTGCCGTTTTCTTGTTCTCTGTCTTGGATTTTAGTGGGGGTTTCTTTTTGGATTAGGCTGGTAATCTTATTTCTTTGGAATCCATTGGATGTTAATACGTTAGTGAGAGTGTGTAGTTCGGTTTTTAGGTGTTGTTCGTCAGCTAAGCGTTTTGTTCTGGAGATGAGTGTCTTGGCTACGGAGTTGATCTGTGCTGGATGGTGGTGTGAGAGTGCATGCAGATAGCGGTTTGTGTGTGTTTTCTTCTGGTAGATGGTGTGTCCTAGGGAGCCATTGGATTTCCTGTAGACTAAGACATCCAGGAAGGGAAGTTGGTTGTTCACTTCTGTTTCCATGGTAAACTGTATTTTGGGGTGTAGGCTGTTGAGATGTGTGAGGAAGTTGTCCAGTTGTTCTTTCCCATGTGGCCAGATTATGAAGGTGTCATCTACGTATCTGATATATATATATATATATATACACACACACATATATATATATATATACACACACACACACACACACACACATCACAATCTCTGGAACTTAAAATATATTGTCCACTTAGCTTTTGATAGCCTCGGCTAACATTGTCAGAATGTAAAAAAACTACCATTGAAGAGATATTCGCCTTTATGCATCATTTTTAGGATAGTTTGCAATATATATAAATACATAATAATTAATGACTTACAGGTAAAATTAAGAAAAGACTTAAGAAAACTAAGAAACAGAGTGCCTTGGGATACATGCCGAGCTTCAGAAGTTATTTCAAATTTTGAAGCTCACCATACAAAAATGCTTCTAAAGTTTCAGTATCTAGGTTTCCCAAGATCTTCTTGATGCTCACTCAATATATTTGAAATTGTTTTGCCATGACAGAATCAATACTTGAAAAAAATCTTGGTGAACTATTTCCATATTACAGCCTGTTTCCATCTATTTTCTTAAATGCAGCCAGGAGTAGGCCACTCTTAAGACTGTTTATCCTGACTAAGTAACTATGACCAAATTGCAGGACAGTGAAGACTGGGCTGAAAATATATTGTAAATGCCTTTTTGGGTCTGTTTGAATTTAGTATGCATATGTTTGATTAGATTGCCACCTGGTGGTTATTCATGTTCATGCTGTGCTTTCTTCTTAGGGAGGAAGAGAAGTTTATCTGTTGAGAAATATGCGTTGTTGTCTTCATATTCTTTTAATAATAAATCTTGAATCACAAGCTGTAGAAATGGGTAAATTGAGGGACACTTATCTACTTTGGAAAGAACAGAAAAGTCCTAGAAATTATTGTACAGCGTTGATTCCACTGCCAAGATCTCTAACTTAGAAATAAGAGCAATTTCTAATTTTTTATATAGCTTTTATATATATATATATATATATATATATATAATAAGATTGATTTTTTATCAATCTTATTATTGCTTATTATTAATTTTCAATATCAAAACATCTTGAAGAAGCTGAAGAGCTGGAACTTCAGCTGGAACCACTAACTCACATTTAGCTTTGTCTGGTTCCACAGTCCCGTTGGTGGATGTATGAGGGCTGTTTTGAGATGATCTGCGAGGCTTGTATACACTATCGATCCCAGGATAGCTGGCTGGGGTGACTGAATCTGTAGCAGCGGCTCCAGCACTATGCCCAAGAAAGACTTTGGCAATTATAAGTTTCCCTGAGAAATGAATAAAAGCTCTTATTTATAAACTCAATGTATTGGAATTCTAATGCAAAGTTCCCAACAAGTGAAATGGAACGCATCAAACCACGTAATAAAATAAGTGTTTAAAAAACTTCCTGCTTCCTACTTCAGTCAAAATGTCAACATATATTTTAGCATTATTAATATGTGAAATGGTAAGCTATTCAACACAGTATTCAGTGTTTCCAGAAAAACCACCGCAATTTACATTTCTAACTTGGATACAAATCAATATAGACTTTCAAACAAACAGAGTCAGTTGGAAGACATGAGGCCATAAATCTGTACTCACCTAGCTAAACCCTGTTTCCCGGTGTTAGAATTTGAGGTCATTTACTGAACTAAACACAGGGAGATTCAGGATTCACAGAGAAATACTAGTTTTACATAGTTAAGCTGTGGGATTCACTCCAGCAGTCATATTAATGGCAACCAATCTGGATGGTACTAGAAGCTGACGGAACTGTTCAGAGAGGATCAATGGTTGCTATACAGGAAATCCTTGGTTAACAACTACTCATTCAGCAACCATTTGAACTAGCAATGGCACTGAACAAATGGTAACCATGACTAATCCTCAAAGTTCCAATCATTGCAGGGCCCCTGCAGTCAGGTGATCCAGATGCTCAATATCTGGTCCAGTTTTCTGACCATCACAGCATCCTGTGATCGCATGAATGTACGACTTTCCCTCCCAGCTTCCCATAAACAAAGTCAATGGGGAAGCCAGCAGTAAATTGGAAGTTCTAATCATGTGTGGTCCTCGCTTAATGATCCTGGTGATAAGCTTAATAACAGGAACAGGGAATGCTTGTGATGATGTCACTAAGTGTGACACATTGCTTAGCAACAGAAATTTCCACAATTAAGCAAAGACTACCTGTACTGATGGTGGTTTACTATCTCCCGAAGCACAAAATGCCATGCTCTCAGTAGTCATTACTGAGAAACCACACTGGAAAAAGGACCCATCAGTTCTGTAACTTCTAAAATGCATCTAGATTGCCACTGTGTGATATAGACATCTGTGGCATGATCAATGGGACTTTTCTTATACAATTCATTTATTATTAGGTTCATACCCCATCTTTATTTTGTACAACTTCAGGCAGTGTAAACAATGCACCACTGGGTACTCCACCAGTATTAAAATCTGCATACCACTTGTACTAATTTTAACTGAATCTATACTGAGTCTTGGGTGCTTTTATTTATTTGTTTAATTTGAATACATCATTATTAAAACTATGTTTAAATCCATACGGCAACATCTTAAACATTACCATATCTGATTGACTCCTCAAAATCTCCTTTACTTTGGGATTGTTTTTGCAGGTTTTCAATTCTTGGATGTTCACAGATACTTAGACTGTTTGAGAGTAAAAGGACTCCATTTTCCTAAAATAACAAAAAAAAACAAAAAAAAAATCCCAACAGCTCACTAATCTGAATGTTACTGCCTCACACAGAACTTTCGAAATATTTAATTAACAGTTTTAAAATTAACAAGTGTTATGAGCATGTGGAACAGATAAGCAAGCACAACAGAAGGGTAGATGAGAAAACTGACAAATGGTAGATTACAGATTGTGATCTTTCTGTTTGTAACACTTCTACATTTAAACTGAAAAAGATTTACTATTGACTAACCAATTCACTTCCTTTATTTCTCTCTCTTTTTTTAAGGAGCAGATTTCTAGCTTTTATGGCAGTAAGATGCAGAAAAATAAGAATTGAAAGTGATCTTGGAGGTTTTCTAGTCCAACCCCAGTCCAGTCCAGATTGATTCTTTCAGTCCAGTCCAGGCAGATTTACTAATTATATGACTTTTTACAGCACTTGTTAAGCAAACATTGTAGTTCTTAAGTGATCACAGCAACTGTTAAGTAAACCAATGCACTCCTATGAGCGTTTTTTTGCTGGAAACTGGCTATAAAGGTAGAGAATGAGCAAAAAAATTATAAATCACTGCAAAAGGTTGTAAAGGTGAGCTAGTTTTCAAGAAAACCAAAATGTGGTCATGTGATTGTGGGGTGTGTGTGCACACACGTATAGTTATCAAAACTCCAGAATTAGGTCATAAGTACCTTTAAAAAATTTTTTAATTTAATTAATTTAATTTAATTTTTAAATTAAAAGACGCTTGCTCTTGGGGAGGAAAGCTATGGCAAAGTTAGACAGCATACTAAAAAGCAGAGACATCACCCTGCCAACAAAAGTGTGACGCGTATAGTCAAGGCTATGGTTTTCCCAGTTGCAATGTATGCTTGTGAAAGTTGGACCATAAGGAAGGCTGAGCACCAAAGAATTGAGGCCTTTGAACTATGGTACTGGAGAAGACTCTTGGGAGTCCCTTGGACTGCAAGGCGATCAAACCAGGCAAACCTAGAGGAGATCAATCCTGACTGCTCTTTAGAAAGTCAGATCCTGAGGTTGAACTCAAATACTTTGGCCACCTAATGAGAAGGAAAGACAAGGACTCACTGGAGAAGAGCCTAATGCTGGGAACGTTTGAGAGCAAAAGACGAAGGGGACGACAGAGAATGAGGTGGCTGGATGGAGTCACTGAAGCAGTCGGTGTGAGATTACATGGACTTCGGGGGATGGTAGAGGACAGGAAGGCCTGGGGGAACGTTGTCCATGGGGCTGTGATGGGTCAGACATGACTTCGCAACTAACAACAACAAGCTTTTTTGGGGGGGGGGCAATGTTGAATGGTTATTAAGTGACCTGTTGTAAGTCAAGAGTATCTGTAGTTGCATATGGAGGGAGACAGGATACTTTGGTGGTCTGATTAGTTTTATGCATTTCTTTAACTATCATAGAGAAATATGTAAAAACGGGAATTGCATAATTTATTCAAACTACAAAAATCTGTTTTTTTTAATGCACACAACTGGAATTTCCTAGAGGCATAATTGTTTTAAATATAAATAATATAAAAATCCTCAAGAATGTGTGGAATGGCAGAAACCTCCTTGAAACCATACCATTTCATAAATAATGTGAATGTTACCCGGTATAAAACACCACTTTGCCTACAGAAAGCTATGAAAGCATTTTGGAACAATGTTATTATTCAATAATGTTTCTATTCTTTCCCTATAGGAAGGCATTTTGTTTCTTTTTAATAAAGGGCATACCAATTCATCCTTAATCAGTCCTTATCTGCACTGTTTCATGATGCATTTGATTATTCAGATTTTTTTTTTAATAAAATGCTCCCTAATAGGAAGACATAAACAGGAAAAAAAGAAAGTTATGTCCTACTGTTTTGGAACTTCTGCTTACTGTTTTTGCTTCCTGAAAGCCTTCTTCTAGAATTTGAATTAATTGCTTTTTATTCAAGTATATTTCAGGGGGAGATACATAGAAGAGGTACTCCAACATCTTCTTGAAGTTTCTGAATGGAAAAGAGGAGACAGGAAGAGAAAGAACAAACACATTTTAAAAACAAATTTCTGAACAGTAAGGGCTTCCTACAAATGATAACATTCCTTTCTTGTTTGCTCCAAGTTTCTGATCCACAAGAAGGCATTACGGAATTACCATGGCTAATAAGTATTGATAAAGCCACCATCATCACATCTCTCCTAGGTGGAGCCAATATTTGTCTTGAACTCAACAAAAATCTATGGGGAAATTCCACTGGAAGCCCCTTCAAAAGGGGGCTTCCCCTTTGCCACCCCACACAGTCTCTCCCAACACCTGAACCAACTGTTCAGGCAAATGGGATGTGGGCCAGAGGAACCAATGACTGGAAGAGGAAGAATGATCCACATGCAGAGAAAAGAAGAAACTGGGAAGAAACCGAAGGCAGCTGAAGATCAAGAAGAAATCTACAAAGGGGCAAAAATGAGAGTACAGGATTGCTAAAATGGTGGCAAAAACACACACACACACACAAAAAAAACAGGTGGTTTTAGTGCTAGAAAACTGGAAAAGAATGGGTTAAGAAGGATTGACAATAGTAAATTTGGCAAGGCAGGAAAAGGTATCAGCATTCCTAAATTGTGCTATAAATAAAGGTGGGAGGAGGGAGAAAGGATCAGCTAAGAAATGAAAATTAAAAGAAGAAGTTTGAAATTTTTAATTCTGTTAGTATATTTTTAGGAGAATTCGGTTACTGTACTCACTTAAATGGATGCCTAGTTGCTAGGTACACAACTACTGGTCACTAGAATTATTATAAATATATTTTGCTTTAAGCTTGTACAGTAATAAATATCAGTCATTCACTTCTATGTGGATATATATGGCTTCCTTCTTATCTGTACCAATCTTCTAACAATATTAAAATGAAACAAACATATAATTAACCTTCCTTTTGAATGAATAGAGCAGAGCAGAGCAGAGCAGAATTCTTTATTGGCCAAGTGTGATTGGACACACAAGGAATTTGTCTTTGGTGTATATGCTCTCAGTGTACATAAGGAGAATAAAATCCATTCATCAAGAATAAAAAGATACAATACCTAGTGATAGTCAAGGTTACTAATAAGCTATCAAATCGTACTAGGAAACAAATAAAAAACAATATAAATTGAAAGATATGAAAAACATGGTTATAGTAATTAGTGAAAAGAGCTAGATACTAGTAAGGAAGAGAAGAATAATAGTAACACAGTCTTAGTAAATTATTTGACAGCGTTGTGGGAATTAATTGTTTAGCAGAGTGATGGCATTCGGGAAAAAACTGTTCTTGTGTCTAGTTATTCTGGTGTGCAGTGCTCTATAGCATCGTTTTGAGGGTAGAAGTTGAAACAGTTTATTTCCATGATGTAGATATTTTCACAACCCTCTTTTTGTCTCGTGCAGTATACAGATCCTCAATGGAAGGCAGGTTGGTAGCAATTGTTTTTTTCTGCAGTTCTAATTATCCATTGAAGTCTGTGTTTGTCGTTTGGTTGCAGAGCCAAACCAGACAGTTATGGAGGTGCACATAATAGACTCAATAATTCCTCTGTAGAACTGGATCAGCAGCTCTTTGGGCAGTTTGAGCTTTCTGAATTGGTGCAGAAAGAACATTCTTTCTTGAGCTTTTTTAATGACATTTTTGATGTTAGGTGTCCATTTTAAGTCTTGAGATATGATAGAACCTAGAAACACGAAGGACTCTACTGTTGATACTGTGTTATCTACTATTGTAAGAGGTGGTAGTATAGGTGGTTTTCTTCTAAAATCCACCACCATTTCTACGGTTTTGAGTGTATTTAGTTCAAGACTGTTCTGGTTGCACCACAAGGCTAGTTGTTCAACCTCCCATCTGTATGCAGATTCATTGTTGTCTTGAATGAGACCAATCACTGTTGTATCATCTGTACACTTCAGTATTTTAATAGAACCATCTTTTGAGATGCAGTCATTGGTCTATAGAGAGAAGAGTAATGGAGAGAGCACACAGCCCTGGGGGGCTCCTGTGCTAATTGTGCAGGTATCTGATGTGATTTTGCTTAGCTTCATCTGCTGCTTCCTGTCTGTTAGAAAGCTTATGTCCATTTACAAGTGTGGTCAGGTACAACTAGCTGATTTAGTTTAGTTAGAAGAATATCTGGAATGATGGTATTGAATGCTAAGCTGAAGCCTACAAAGAGGACCCTTGCATAGGTCTTTGGAGATTCAAGATGTTTTAGGATATAGTGCAGAGTCATATTAACAGCATCATCTGTCGATTTATTTGCTCAGTAGGCAAATTGCAAGGAGTCTAACAGCTGATCCGTGATTGTTCTCAGGTGGCTGAGCACTAGTCTTTCAAAGATCTTCATAACTACAGATGTTAGAGCAACCGGTCTGAAGTCATTCAGTTCCTTGATAGAGGGTTTCTTCGGCACTGTGATGATAGTAGAGCATTTGAAGCAAGAAGGAACAGAGCACATCTCTAATGATTTATTAAAGATGCGGGTGAAGTTGGGGGCCAGTTGGTCAGCACAAGTTTTTAAGCAAGTAGGAGTTATCTTGTCTGGACTTGGTGCTTTTCCTGGCTTTTGTCTGTGAAATAGGCTTTGTACCTCATTCTCTGTAATCACCAGAGATGGTGGGCCCAATGGGATAGGGTAGGTTGTAGGAGGCTTAGCTGTTGTTGGTGTGTCTGAGATGGGGATTGTGGAGATGGGTGGCAGTAGTTTTCTCTCAAACCTGCAGTAAAACACATTCAGGTCATCTGCCAGTTGTTGATTTTCTTCAGCTTGGAAAAAATTGGAAAAAATGAAAAGCAACTTGAAGGATGTTTAGCCAGGAAACACTGTTTAGAGAAAAGTTTAAACATTCATTCCCTCACATTTCTCTGTTCAGAATTGTTCCCAACCAAAGATTCATATTTCATTTTTACAATCACACATAATAACACCTTCATATAAAGATGCATATAATACATAATAAGAACTGAAGCATTTTTTTCTTTAGGACATTTCCAGCAGTTCTCCAGATTTCCCCATCATCTATGATATGACAAGAGGCTTGAAGGCAAAGCAGCTTTTTACTGTACATTTCAGGTTTAAAATGCTGGCGTTGAAACTCATCTGACAATATTTGGATGTCTTTTGAATATTTTTTAATTTAAAAAACTGTTTTTTTTAGTTTTATCCTACAGGGATAAAACTTAATATTTCTTTTTAATATTTCTTTTAGATTGCTTTTTATTTTATTTTTATAAAATTCATAAATGCTAATGTAGAAATTCCTTAATCACCCAATACTAAAAATCTCTTCTTACATAGTAAACTTTTTAATACCGTCTTCCAAATAGAAATAACTTATCACATAATATTTTTATGAATCATAACTCTGCACCTAATGAGGCAGTAGCTAGGTTGAAGTCCTACAGTAAGTTCACTGCAATCTGAACTCATTTTTTCAGATAGATAGGTTTATTATGCCGACAACACACTCAATAAAAGCACAAAGAACCAAAGTCCAATTAATTATCTTTTTTTAAAAATAATTTTCTTTAAATCAACTCACATGGATTCATTTAACTCTTCTTTATCCAAAAAGTTTTGGAATTTCTCCTCAAAATTCAGCCTCAAAATCCGGTTGTGCACCCTAATGACACGATTTACTTTCAGTGCAGTGATGCCATATACTTTGAAGTCCCAGGCACAAAATCGGGATAAAATCAATTCATAGCATGAATTAAACCTGTGGTTAAGAAAGAGGACTTGAATCACTATAATTATTCAATAGGAAGATACCTTGCCCAAATAGATTAGACAAAATTAAAAAACCCTCCCTCCATTAATTACATTACAATAAAATCTAAGACAATCTCTCAATTACCATTATTTTCAGATTAAAAACAGCAGGAAGAGAAACCAGCTGAAATTTACCTTCAATCTGCTTTCAAACTATCATCAATTTACACTAAATTTATATGCCTTTGTTTTGAATGTAATAGATTTGAGCACAAAACATAACAATTAAAGCTGCCTTCCAGCAAATCAGACCATTAGTTCATTTAATACTGATTACAATGACCAACATAATTAACCTTCAGAGTTGAAAAGTGATTTTAGCATGCTTGTCTGAAGATGCTGGAGACTGAACCAGAGATATTCTACTATACCGTATATACTTTTTCTGTCCCAGTTTTCTGATAAAAAATTGCTTTTCTTTGAATGAAGTAACCTGGTAATTATTACCATACATATTGTTTGAAGTAAGTTACTTATTGGACATTTTTTTTTGTATATCATCTAACAAAAAGGGCTGGGTGGCCATATCCATCATTATTATATACAGGTAATCCTTGACTTACAACTGTTCATTTAACAATTGTTTGGAATCATGATAGCCTTGGAAAATTGAGTTATGACCCATCCTTCAAAACTTACGACTACTTGCACCATCCCCATGGTCACATGATCACAATTCATGTTTGCATTTATGAGGGTTGCAACATCCTGCAGTTGCATGATTGCGATATGCAACCTTCCCACCAGCTTCTGACAAGCAAAATCAACTGGGGAAGCTGAATTTGCTTAACTATGTGAATCACTTAACAATCATGGTAAAAATGCTTATAAAATAGGGTCTGTTCACATGATAAGTCCTTGTGTTTCTGGGTTTGGTTGTTTTCATGCAGACATTTTATTACCGCAACTAGGTAACATCATGATAAGTCGCTTGCACTGACTTATGATGAAAATTCCAATCTCAATTGTGCTTATAAGTCAAACAATACCTGTACAGTATGTGTTCCAAGCACAGACTGTAGTAGCGATAATCTAGAAATGTGATGTCTATGTGAGGCACTCTAAAGGAGTGAATGACAAACCTCTAGACTAGTCCAAAACTGTTATTTGATACATTAACATTTACTGAGGGAAACACAGCAGAGTAGAAGAATGTTGGATGGGTATAGTAGCAATGCAATTTATTGCTTCATTGCATTTTGGAGGGGTTTGCTGTACAATAAATATTGTACCGTGTTTTCCCAAAAATAAGACCGTCTTATATTTTTTTGAACCCCGAAATAAGTACTTGGCCTTATTTTTGCGGCGGTCTTATTATTTTGGGGCGCGTGAAGCAAGATGGGGCTCCTCTTGCCATCTTACCTGATTTCCAGGTCTGCGTTTAAATATTTTTGGGGAGGGCTTATTTTTGGGGGGAGAATTATTTTAGCTCATGAGCTCAAAAGCCCGATTGGGCATTTATTATCAGGGGATGTCTTATTTTTGGGGAAACAGGGTACAAAGCTGCATATTATTTTCTGCTTCCTCATGAATGGGGCTTTCCCTTCTCTTATAGAAATCACTCTTCTCCTACATATTATAAGTAAGTATGGTAACAAGATCTGAATCTCTCTATAGTGCTATCTAGGTAGCAAAGCAAGGATGAACTGCAAGCTAGGTTGAGTGGCATACAGAGTTCAAGGAAGGGGAGATTTATATCCTGCTTTTTGCTCAGAAGTGATATTTAGGGTAGTAGTCAGTGCTTCTGCCAGTGAAAATGAAGCTCAAGAGGGCTGTGTGCGTTTTCACTGGCAGAGGGTTGCAGGAGGCAGCGGCAGCTGAAAATGGAGCTTGGGAGCCCTTTTTCACTGGCAGAGTGCTTGGGGCCACCACAGGTGCCCCTGACATGAGTGACATTGAGCTGGCCATGCCCATCCTGGTCACGCCCACTCTGGCTCCCCGAAGTCAAACACAATCCTGATGCGGCCCTCAATGAAATTGAGTTTGATATCCCTGCATTAGAATACTGCAAGATTGAAGATTAAAATTTTAGAACACTGCAAAACAACTGTACCAAACATCATTTGGTGAGCCCTCTTCAAATCGTGTGTTTCCCACAGATTCCAGTTCAGTAAGCAAAAACTGTACTGCCAAATTGCTGGTTTTCTTCTTCTTCTTGACTTCCACTTGATAAATAGTTTCAATTCTGCAATATAACACACAGGATACACCATAGCTGAAGGTTGACAGTGAATGGCAAAGTACAGGAAAAGAGCAATGATCTGAAGAACTGCACAGCAAGCTTTATGAATATGCAGGACCTCGGAGCCAAGGAAAGTCCTAATTAAGTTTTTTTTTTTAATTTCCCAACTTTTCCCCACTAAAACACACCTGTCTTATTTACCATTCACCATCTGTCTTATTTAACTTAAACAGATACAATGGAAATGCAACCAGTATTCAAATTCTATCATGTGCTCTGCAAAAGCCAAAAGTGTAGCTGCACTCCATTGCATGTATAAAGTTGCTATAATAAAAGAATAAGCACAAGGTCTCTTTTTTAATGTAGATTAAGGATGGTGTTAGTTAAAGACATCCAGGACTTGTCAAAGTTCAATGTTACTCCCAGCTAGAATTAATGTATCATGGTACTGAAAGAAATGTGATCCTGAATTTTAGGCTGTTTATGCATCCCTAAAATTATCCAACCTCACTCATCACATTCCGTTTTTCAGTTCATGGAACATAGTCCTCCTATTATAAAGGAGCATTATTTGGGGGAAATAACCACTTTCCTTTCAGGTAAATACAATATTTTTGCTTTCATCATGCACTTTAATGGTCCAATGGAAACTATTTCAGAAAAGGCAAAAGGAGCAATGTGTTTTTTTTCTCAGAGGGCCCCTGACATCTATGAATGTAAAAATATCAACATGAAAATCATTCATGTAAAAAAACCCAAACCCTGCTATCCTTCCAGTTAGGAGGCCTTTTTAATGGATGAAAGAATTTTGTTCAGTTAAAACAAATCTAAATAATGAGTACTTTTTTAAAAAAAGTACTGCAATTAAACAATTAAACTTTCTCAATTAGGTTCTAGATATTCAGTATTGAATTTATACAGACATAGCTTTTCAAGTCCTAAAGTCCTACTTTATACTTTATTTACACAGATATAGCCTTTCAAGTCCTCAAGTCCTACTTTATGGATTCCCTGAATATTTCTCTCCTTCCTACAAATTCCTTCACAATGACATAGACACAGCAGAGCATCCTACCTGCCTCTTCCAGAGGACAGGCACGTGTGAAGGAACTCTGAGGACCAGCATGCAACCCTGAAGCCCGAAGTGGATCTTATCTCAAGCAATGAATTCAGTGTCTTCAAGTCCCAAACCTGTTCAAACAGCAGCCCTTGCACCTTTCACAAGATGTACATACTCCTGCAGTTTGTTGTTCCAGAAATTTATTCTTCTTTTGAGGGCATCTAATTTATGAAGAAATAGTTGTTCCAGACTGGATTCTTCTGGGGTCTCATCTGGACTCTCCCCATCCCCATCTGGTTTTTCATATTCAAAATTCCAGCTTGAAGAAACTTTACTAGCTTGTATTCTGCCACTTGCTTGAAGTTCCATCAATTCACGTTCCAGCTGTTTTAAGACAGAAAGCAAAAGAAATGCATTAGTTTGACTGAAATTTATGAAGGATACGAACTTTTAATGAAAAGCTAAAGCCCAAAATTGTATAAATAAAATGTGCAAAAACAGGACAAGAACCAGTACATGTGTTTTGCTGTACATCATTGCATAAATAAGAAAATACTTCAGTTGTTATTCCATAATGAAGAAGAAAATATTATTCCACAATGAAGAAGAAAAATATTACAACATTTAGAGCAAAATTATGCAATATGCACATATTCTAAAACTATATCTAATATCCATCATTTATTTAATAGTCATATAAGGCCATGTAGATTGTGATGCAGAGGAGGGAGAGAGAGAGAAGGAGAGGAGGGGGAGGAGAGAAAGAGAAAACGAGAACTTTTTCCTTCAGATACACTTTCCATGCAAAAATGCTTCTTCCCAAGTATTTGCTTCCACAAAAACAAATTGACTTTTAAGAGCAATAGGAAATGAGAGTAGTGAGATTAGTCAGCAAATAGCAAACACAGGAAGGAAAGAATTAATCTCCCTTCCCCTTTTATACTGTGGTATTGCTCTGTGTTGGGCTCCATGTGGATACTTTTTCTGGAACAGTTTAAGACAAATTTGAATTTTGTTTTAAAAACTTGGTAAACATATATTAAGATGTACTGATTTATTGACCAATTGCAAAGTGGAAGTATGTTTCAGAAACACTCACAATTCTATTCCGTTGGGTTGTATTTGGAGTTCAATATTAAACTCCAAATATTATGTATGCTTTTATTTATTATATATTTATTAAATTTTTATGCTGCCTACCTCCCTTATGAGGCGACTCTGCAGCTTATTATTAATAATAATACTATTATTAAGTATTATTACTGTTGTTTGTCACTCAGTCAGCCAGATGTTTGGACTGGACTTGGCATTTTTGTCACCTATCGAGCCCTTCCCAAGGGCCTGTGATTATTAGTAGTATTGTTTTGATTAAATACCTCATGTCATGAGACTGGATTAGTTTATAAATCCATAATAATTTCTTTTGTATTTATTAATTTCTTTTGTATTTATTTATTTGATTTCTATAGCCACCCATCTTCTGACTCTGGGCAGGCTATATCTATATCTATATCTAGATAGCCAAGAAATGGGGCCTTTAACACACTTGGACCTGGCACTAACAAGGACTTCACAACCGTACAAAAGGCCAGAATGGTCCTAATCTCATCCTAAACTCTGAAATTTTCAGCCTGGGATTGAACCTGGAACATTTTGGGTTGCAAAGCCTCTTTCGGAAACTTGACACCTGCATTATACTAAGCTTTTTAATGAAGAAAGGCTCCCTACTGAATTGTTGCCATCTTACTTCTGGGGTTATAAGTTATAACAATAGATTGTGGGCAGGCACTTGAAACTTCAATGGTAGAATTCAAACAGTAGGATTTAGCCAGAATTTACTTTGGTGATGGCGGGATTTGCCTTTCTTACATGTTTCACATAGCAGCTGAAATGTTTAAGACGATCTTCTGGCAATTTCTGTAGTTTGTTCTTTCTTTCTCTTAGCTTTTCAAGCTCCTCATTCAGTTGTCTATGAACACTCTTGATTCGCATATTGTAGTACATCACTTTTTTCATCACAGTTGTCTTCAAAAGATAAAAGGGAAACTCAGAAAGGAGCTGAATGTTGGCATTTAAAGATACAATAATGAATTAAAAATTCTACAATATCATGCCATTCTTAGATTGTAGTCCTCAAGTTTGAACAAGGTGGACACGATATGGAACAGCCTCTTATAGGAAAGCATTTCAATGTCCATCCTATATGTTCTCTACCTTCAGCAAGCCCATTCCCACACAGTGATAATGTTTTCACCATTCTTTAGTGTAAATAATCTGCTCTTCTCTGGGTAGAGAATCTCCAATGCTTCTACAGCCCACAGCTCCATATAACGATGACATCAAGAATAGTTAGTGGACTAACACTAATTTATTTATCAAATTTGTTTGCTGCCCATCTTGTGGTTCAGGCAACACTGAGCGGTAACTCTGAGTAGCTATTATAAATGTATCAATGTATGGAAGAGAGAAAGGATCATGGATATTCTAAGGTAAAGAATGGACAGCGTTAAGAGGAACAGTCCTTTTGAGAGGCAATATGAGCCATCTGTGGTTCCATGGCACAAAGGCTAATTTCTTTCTGATCTAATTAAAAAAAAAACTTGCATTTCAGCAAGATGTGCAGTAGGATCATTTAAAGAAAAAGAAACAAGGAAAGTAAAATGCACTAAAGTTATTTGCTATAGCATATATCCACAAAGTTGCTAACACAATAATTTCCAAAATTTTGGAAAACCAGAGAATTAACATTTAGTTTTAAATAATCTCAAGTGAGGGTCACTTTCCTATCATACATGACTGAATCTGGGCAACATTCAAAATGCAACCTAGAAGATAATTATTCTTGTAAGCTTTCTACATTTAGCAATAGGGATGGCCCCATTAGCATAGCTCTTCTCCCCTAGAAAAGGATTCTTTTGTCCTATTCAAACAACTGCTGAAATTAGGATTAAACTACAGGTTGAATAATCAAGTAAAGCTATAATTAACTGAAGAAATGTTTTATTAATTTAAAAAATAACTGAGCATTAACCTCTATAATTGCATTATTTTTATTTTTATATTTGTCAGCTAGCAAGTGTTATGATGTGGATGATCATATATACAAAGAGGAGGAAACATGTGTTATTTTACTCCTACGATGGAATACTAATGTAATTAGCTAACAGTATCCTCTTTCTGTTCTGGTTCTTAAAATCTGTACTCACCTCTGCCAGCTCTTTGATTTGTTTAGAAGATACATCGTAAGTGTCAAGCCTTTGAAGCAAAGGAATGTGATATAGCACATGTGTTGCATAATTGCAAAGGTGACAAACAGGGTTAGCTTCGTACTGGGGGTCATTCAAACACAGGTCTGTTAAGTGAGGTAATCTTGCCAAATTGGTAATTTCCTTTGCAAAAGAAAAAAAATGAAAAAGCACCACTTTCAAATATATCTAATATCAAGAACAATTCTAGGCTTCACCATTCAGAGAAGACCTGCAGAAACCTAGGAATAAAATAAACTGAAATATTTCAATGTTACATTTTCTTAACAACAAATAATCTTTCTCCATATTACCCTGCTCCTCTGTGAATTGCATTGTTTGCCAATTTTGCTTCCAAGTCCAAGTCAAGAAGCTGGTGATAACTTATAAATCCCTGCATTGCATGGGACTGTGATATTTGAGGGACCACCTCTCCCCAATCTTACCTACATGTCCCATCAGGTCCAGCACAAAGGGTATATTCTATGTCCCATCAGCCAGGGATTGTCATCTGGAGGGCCCAGGAAGACAGCTTTTTCTGCTGTGCTTCCCTTTCTTTGGAACATTATCTCCCAGAAGTCAGATTGGCCCAACTTTCTATACTTGTTGCAAGACTCTGAAAACATGGTTTTGTCAACAGTCATGGGAATCCAAGAGTATGGCACAGCTGTGCAGTGGATGTATTGATTGGTACTGATGGATATTATTTATCTCAGCTATGAATTTTTTGTAGGGTGATATGGCTTTTATATGGTTTTATATTGTTTTTGTTTTTAAATTATTTGTATTTCTGTTTTTATACTCCTTTTGCTATGAGTTACCCAGACATTGAGATAGGTAGCTTTATAAATCTGAATAATAAAATAGATTAATAAATAAACCAATTACATCAATCAAGCCAAAGAGAAGACAACACTTACTTTAAATGAGCGTATTCTGTTACCAGACAAATTTAATTTTTCAATGCTTTCACTTGGATCCAAGCGGTTTCCTAAAAGAGAAAAGGAGGGAATTATTCTTGAACTTTTCTCTCTGTTCTGGTCTTGGTTGCTATTAAAAAAATTAAGCAAGATCATATCTGGTTAGTGCTTAGTCAGAAAGCCACCTGGAAATGCAAGGCTGTAGGAAAGATTGAAAAAAGAAGAAAGTAGTCTCATATAACTTCTACATTGTTTTCAAGAATACAGCATGGGTATGCCCATGGAAGAAATAGGGAAAAGGTTTGAATCAAGAGTCTTTTTTCTTTCTTTCAAGAATTTCTTGTGAATTGTAATAATATACAAGTAAATGCAATAAATCCTGGCAAATAGCTGGGAAAAAAATGGAGGTAGTGACAGATTTTATTTTCCTGGGCTCCAAGATCCCCGGAGATGGGGACTGCAGCCAAGAAATTAAAAGACGCTTGCTTCTGGGGAGGAAAGCTATGGCAAATATAGACAGCATACTAAAAAGCAGAGACATCACCCTGCCAACAAAAGTGCATATAGTCAAGGCTATGGTTTTCCCAGTTGCAATGTATGACTGTGAAAGTTGGACCATAAGAAAGGCTGAGCACCAAAGAATTGAGGGCTTTGAACTATGGTGCTGGAGAAGACTCCTGCGAGTCCCTTGGATTGCAAGGCGATCAAACCGGTCAGTCCTAGAGGAGATCAACCTTGACTGATCTTTAGAAGGCCAGATCCTGAAGATGAAACTCAAATACTTTGGCCACCTAATGAGAAGGAAGGACTCACTGGAGAAGAGCCTAATGCTGGGAAAGATTGAGGGCAAAAGAAGAATGGGACATCAGAGAATAAGGTGGCTGGATGGAGTCACTGAAGCAGTAGGCATGAGCTTAAATGGACTCCAGAGGATGGTAGAGGACAGGAAGGCCTGGAGGAACGTTGTCCATGGGGTCGCAATGGATCGGACACTAACAACAAAAAAAATGCAATAGAACAATTTCTATAGAACAATAAATTTCTCTATACATGGGCAAATCTTTTTTAAAATATTGGATCCGCTTGCCAATCTAATATTCTACCAGTGTTTTCCACAATAATCAACAACTGCCTCTGGAAGTTCATGGGATGACCTGAACACACTAGCCCTCTCCCAATGTAGACTAAGGAAGATGACCTTGATATGACAGAGACATGCAAGTTCTGTTGCATCATCTTCCTTACTCTCTATACCCATTAATGTTCCTGTGCCAATAATATTCAGAAATATGCGCTTCTGATCCAGAATGGTTATAATTTCTCTTTTGCACAATTGATGTCAGTGATATAGCAATATCAGAGCCAAAGTCCATGACTTGGCCAAAAACAGTTGACTGATGCCTCAAACCCAGGATCAATTTCTGGGCTGAAATATCATGAAATAGGCTGAAATGGGATTGATGTTGTTTCTCACAATACTTTTTTTTTCTTATTATTACATGATGTGATTACAAATGCTTGTATTAATATTGGTACACATTGAAAAAATTGGGTAACAAAATGAAACTTATACCCTAGTAATAGGACAATCACATGAAGATTGTCCTATTGTCACTAAAATCTCACCTAGGTAAAACCGTTAAGCTTAGCAACTAAAATCTTAGCTCTACTATTGTACTGCATAGCATGGAATATAAAAGTTCCATTCTACTGTAAATTACAAACTACTGAGCAAGAGAAGGGTTCCAAGGTAGAAAAATCTATTCACTGTTGTTTGCCCCATTAGTAATATGCAAAATAACAGATATGCAAAATACAATGCATCTTGTACCAATTTTACTAATATTGTTATCTGCAAGATTGAGTTCTTTCAGTCTCTTCAATGAAGTCAGCCCCTGTAAAAATACAGATTATTATGTTTAGAATCATATAATGTTGCAAACTCTTAAGAAATGTAGCTATTCTTTAAACCACACATACATTAGACTATGTTGTATAAAGCAAATGGTTTTGGAAAACAATTTTAAATCAAGTTGTATTTTGTCTAATTTTCTGCATGTTTCCTGAGAAGTAGGACAAATTCTAACAATTAAAAGCAGGCCTTTTACAACTATTTTATTTAGCAGATTCCTAATAATTTTATTCCCTTAATATGGCTAATAGCATTGCAATTCTGGCACTTTATCTGAAGATTAAGTTCAGCTAGCTTTTATGCTACTTTGTTTTAAATTACAGTGGAGGACATCCTTTGTTCATCTAGACAGTTGCAGAGTTATTACTACTATAGAAACAAGATCGTCTTAGCGTATTATTTTAGCGTATTATTTTCAAGTGAATATTATTTTAATTTCTGGTTGGATGGTTATTTAATTAACTTGTTTTAGAACAGGTAATTTTACTGTTGATTGTTTAAATCTTAATTGTATCTTCTAGTTCACTATTCATCATTCCTTCAGAAAGGGGGGCAGGAAACAAAGAAAAAGAAAAAAGGGAAAGTGAAAAAGAATGAGTCTTTTTAATTACTGGTGGATTGTGAAATATAATTAATGTACAACTGGGATACCTAAGAGCTTAGTATTGCTGAGATCATATTTGCATTGTTGCCAAATATATTGATCAGAAAGTGCTTTTGGTGATAAAAGTGCGTCTGTAATAAAATGGAATAAAATGAATCAGCTGTTCTACTGTTTCCTACACAATTTGTAACTATTTAAATATTATCTTCTTCTCTCTCATTGCTTAACCTTACAAAGAAGAGATAGATGAGAATCAATAGCTCTTTAAAACCCAATCTTACCTGTATTTCTTTAATCTGGTTCCCATTAAGCCAAAGTATCTCCAGCTTTTGTAGCATTTCCAGATTTTCAATAATGGAAATCATATTGCAATACAGGTAAAGTTTTTTCAAAAGAATACATTTTTCCAAACCAGCAATTTTCTGCAAAGAAATTAAAGTCACCAATGAGGAAAATGCAGAAATTCCAGAAAGGTGAACAGGAGTTCATGGGAAATGCCTTAACTACACTGACAAATAGTCATCTGAATCTGGCACATGAAGCTTTAATTGCACTGTCAGCCATCTCATCAGACGGACATAAACCACTATATTTTCAGAGTCCCCTTTCTATACATAGACCTGGGCTCCTCCAAATACTTCTGAGTAAGTAATAACCATTAACTGCTTAAAATGAACTATTACTGCATTTAAAATGTCTTAATGTTGCAGTAGATCCACAATTCATGATTACCAACTTTTCTTCTAATGCACAAATATAAATTTGAAACAAAGGAGAAGTTAGTCTTTCCTGAATCAAGTTTGATTACTGGAAATTTCACAAACATGGGCATGTAATTTTTCTGGCAACAATATAGTAATAGTTCAATGCTGCTTTTTTCAAGCAACTAAGATTTACTAGTGATTTTCCATGCCAATTCTAATCAAATCTGGCCTTGCTTTTCAAAATCAGCAAAAATTGAGCAGGTATTAGTGGGACAACATCAAATAATACACTAAAGGTGAGGTATGAGTTAGATGTGAAATGGATTGAGACATTTTGAGAGACTCTATCTTTGCTAAGACTGCAATCAGACTTAAAATCTAAGTATACAAGCTGAAACTTCAGAGCTACATTCTCTCCAAAAATAGGTGAGGCTTATAAATTCATTAAAAAGTTGTGCAAAATATTACGTCTTAGAACATTCTGATCTTGGAAAGGCCCATGCTAAGGTTAGAATGGCCTGCTTTTCAATCAGAACATTCTATAACAAAATATTTTCCTCACTCTGTATTGCAAGCAAATCTTGTTAATGTAACTGAAGGGAGAAATTATTAAATACACATCTATAATGTTTTTGACTATACCTTGTGTAACGTAAAATTAAGAGAGTTGGTGTTTTCACTGAAGCTACTTTGGAGGTGTTTGGAGTATCTTAGAAAACGTCTTTCACAATGTGTAACTTACTTGCGAGAACTTGGGAAACTTAATTCAAGCATGTTTTCCTGAATGAATTAGGTGTGGGGTTTGCCACTAAGAAAATACTGGTGTTGCCAAGCCCAATGAAATTATCATCTGCCTTGGAGGTGTTATAATCACCAAGACAGAGAGCAGTTTGAAAAGGCTTTTTTTTTTTCAAACTGGGAGAAAACAATGGGAACACTGATTAGATAAGTAAATAATAAAGACTATCAAAACACTAGATAGCTCAGTCAGATGCAGCATTGAGATGCAAAAGGACAATAAAAAAGTGGATAGAAAAATTGTTATGGATTGTGCTATGAATAACATTATCTCTACTAGAATCTGTAAGAAAACATGAAAAATATTGTACAAACTGGCAGGATCCAAAGCATAAGATGAATTTTGGTTCAGGGAATACAGCAATTGTATTCTTCCAAAGCCAGACTTGCTCAATATTTTTGTGCTTAATCAAAAACATTTTAGTTGTTCAACAAAGTGTTTATTCTCATCATGGAAGAAAATAATGAATAAAAAGAAATGGAAAATAAATTAAGTCTCTTTTTGTTCATATATGACTTTTTTTAGCATAGTCCTGGATGTACCACTCAACGAGTCAGATTCTTCAACCCAGAAAAAGTTGCAAAAGTGTACAAGTTAAATGAAGATTTCCTCATCCACTGGAAATTAAAACGCTAGACTTCAGTTCCTACTTACTTTCAAACAGCATTCAGCTATCCATAATTCTTTAAGAAACGGACAGTTCTCTAAATCAGAAATCCACTGGATGTGCTGCCTAACCAGAGTTAGTTTTGTTAAACTGGGGAAATGAGACAGGCCTACTATTCTGGGGTAGCCTGAGAAAAACATCTCCAAGCTTTGTGTTGAAGGTCCTTCTTGCTCAAGTCTTTCATAAGCCAATCCATTACTTGTACACTGGAAGAAACAGTTCAATATTAATATTTTTTCCTTTATGATTGAAAGACAAAACTATAAATAAACTCCAAATAGCTTTGTATTATGACAAATAAGTATCCAGAAGAACTCCATATGTATTTTGGTCTAATACTAATTCCAGGGAGCCCTTATGTTATCTATTGTACTGGCCTTTTTAAAAAATTGAATTTTACATTGCAATTTACCAGCTGGAGATCTGGTTTATGTCCCTTTTGGCTGCCAAGACTTCACGGCCCACATGCATCTCAATGATTTTCATCTTAGCAGAGAAAATTCCATTTATAACATGCAAGGCTCTGCCATGTACTCTGAGTGGCAAATAAGAGTAGAAATACCATGGCAATATCAAAAATAATTAAGGCAAAAAAGGCAATATTGAGAAAAGACCACGCCACCCCATTAACATTTTAAGAAGAAAATCTGAAAAAATTTCATTTATTAATGATAACCTAATTGTTAATAATAAATAATCACAATTTTCAAAAGATGTGTTCACATCACAGGCTGATCAATCATTATCTTAAAAAGTTTATAGAATTAACCACATTTAGCATGTCATGCAAACAGAAGAGGACACTTGTTCTTCAGAAATACTATAATGCCATCAGTGAAATGAATATGACAATTATGGCTGCTCAAGAGTATTCAGTTGTATTCCCTGCTCCTCACAATGACAAACAGATGCTACTGGGATCCTTACAAGGAAGAACAAAAGCATATAGACCACCAGTGTTTCCCAGCAGCTTCTATTAAAAGACTGCAACTGGTGAACTTGCAGCATTTATATAGTTCTTATAGAAATATCAACTGATAATGCTGAAAAGTACTAGATTTCTTGATTCTATATTCCTAGATTCTCCTTTACAGATTATGCAATAACAAGGAACATTCCTTGCAAATGCATGGTTGCAAACTATAACACTGATAATCAAAACATATGATTGATTGACAGAATCAATTTAATATTGTAAAAGGTGCCAGTTTAACTTATTAAATAATGAAATAAGGTGCTAAATTATCCTATTAAATAATAAAGAACAGTAAAGAGATAGAGCAGTGTATATATCAATAATGACAAGAGTTAACTTGTCGACGCCCAGGGATAGGGTGTTCTCTGTGGGCGCCCCTACCCTTTGGAATGAAGTACCCACTGAGCTCCGGACGGCCCCGGATCTCCGCTCCTTCCATCGAGACCTGAAGACTTGGCTATTCCAACGAATGGGCTGATGCTGATTCTTGGGTTTTATCATTTATTGATTTTAATTTGGTTTTAACAGGATTTTATTATTTTATCATTATATGTTTTTAACCTGTGTTCGCTGCCCTGAGTCCTTTGGGAGAAGGGCGGCATATAAATACTGCCAAATAAATAAATAAATAAATAAATAACTTGCTTCCTCTGTACTGTCAATAAAACCTGTATGTGATATGTATTTAAAAGTTTGTTCATGTACAACATTGAGAAATAAATATTTAATAACCTTAGACAAATTCTAAACAGTGAATTGAGGGATTATAAGGGGGTGACAAATATGATAATATTTTTATAGGCCCAGTTGTAAGATCAGAGGGGTAGTTATTGTTTATTATTCTGTTGGATAGCTCTTATAGCCTTACCAAATATTTAGAATATCAAAGAGGTTTTTAAAAACAAACCAAAACTTACCAACTCTTTAATTATTTCATCAGAAGCAATCTGGTTTTGAGAATCACTCTGTATCATTTTCTGAGCATTTCAGCTTAAAAGACATAGTTCATACCTAGAGATAAGAATAAAAATACAATATCTTGCTAAGAAATTAATTATGAACCCAGGACTCAGCTGTTAATGAAGGATAAGATAAGGATAAGAGAGGACACATATGTTAAAAGATAAAGTTTAAGATATCCATTCCAGAAATTTAGAGCCGTGCTTCCCAATGTTGGCAACTTTCAGATATACTTCAACTCCCAGAATTTTCAGCAGCTGCCATTGTTGTTGAAGAATTCCATCTACTGAAGGCCAGGAAGTTGCTAAGGTTGGAAAATACTGCTCTAGAGACAATTTTAAATCAGCAATAAATGTTTACCAAGCCAAAACAAACAAGAGTAGTATGCTCTGATCAGCCAACTCCCATTAAGTTATCTTCTTAGGTTTCCTTATATGGAAGCTCCGAAATACATATTCTATTCCAGGGATTTCCAAACCTTTTGGATGAGCAGGCACTTCAGAATCTTAAAATATTATCACAGTGCTCTCAGCAAGTGGTTACCATAATAAGTATACCTACTCACAAAATATTTGCCAAATTCAGCGATGGTTATCACAAAATACCCATTTACAAAGAAAATAAACATTGTTCATACAATGATCTGTAGATTGTTTTTTCATTTATATATACAAATTTTATTTGAGTCGCTTGGGAGTTGGGCGGCATAGAAATGTGATAAATTAAATTAAATTTTAAAAAATGATTGTAATAGTAAATATACTTTTCCTAGTATACTTGTAAAACATAATAAAAACTAAACTTAAAGAAAAAATACTTATAGAACCAGTTTCACACCAGTACATCACTCCGTCCCACTCATTCAGGCAGGGAAGGTATACTGCAAACTATTAGTCAAATAATTTCATCTGGTGGGGTTGTAGGAAGAAGGTTTTCTCTGCCACTGCCACTGCATTGTGGAGCATCTTGCCCTCAGAAGTGAGGAAAGCTTGCAATCTTTTGGCTTTCCGCACAGGCATCAAAACTACCCCAGAAGTCACAACAAGTATAACTGCATACAGAATTTTCAAAAGTGTGCATGTGTGTGTCGCAAATAAACCAAAACATAGATTGTCCCACAAGATTTTAGCACCCAAGATCGAAATTCTTTTTAATAACTGCCTCTAAGAGAGTCATCTTTTGATGATTTGTAAAGATAACCTTTTCATTCCCCCCCCCCCGGATAATTAGGATGTTATGTACTAATTTGAGAAAAGAAGTAGACTCTGATTAATTGTTGTATTTTTATAACTTCTGAATGGGTTGCTCAAAACCAGATAGGTTTGGAAGAAATTTACAGAACACATCTACACTGTACTAGTTATGAAGTATGAAATTCCTTATTGACATGCATTTGCAAAACAAAACACTGATTTCAGATGCATGACTCAGTTATCTTCTATAAAACAGACAACAGCCTCCATTGTTTGCTGTTGTAAAACTTAAAAAGTTAGTTGGGGTGAAAGAAGTTGTACCCATAAAAATGCTAAGTGTTATTGTGACTAGCAACAATAGTTGTCGGATATAAGAGAACACGTTAAAATTATAATTTTCCAAAAGACCCTTAATAATCAAAACAGAATTCTATATTGAGAGAACATGATTCCAGACATATTCCCTACAAAAAAGGGTACACAACAATGAAAGTGTTCTAGTTTCATTGATAGGTGAAGGCAACACAATAAATCCCGAATCTATTTTAACAAAACACAAATGCTGCATTCAAATAGCATATTAAGCACAAATACTTATTAGTTCAACGCGATAGTGTGGTTCACGTAACGTAATATACTACAGGGATGTGTTTAAACCACTACTTTATAGTTTTTATATTTTTATTATATTTTATTTTATTTGCAAAGAACGTATTTGGTAATAAGTATAAGCATGGATTGGATACATAAAATAGATACAAATAGAAGAAATATTAGGACAGGGACGGTAGGCACGCTGGTGCTCTTATGCACGCCTCTTACTTGCCCCCTTAAATCACAAACTATCCACAGCCAATTTCTGCAAACCCAGACGCTGGGTGATTTTGAGCTATTATTTCTCAGCTTATGAGGAGGATAAAAGGATAGTGTGTGTGTGTGTGTGTGCAACACAAACATGAACGTGGTTTCATGAAAGATCACAGCAAATACAAGGTATTCCTCATTCTTTTATGCTAACAATATGGGGTTCAAATATAAAAGAGCACCTAAAAGCAAGCTAAATAACCCGCCTCAAGTCATTTTAATTAAGCTCTCAAAGGAGAACGCAGTCCCAGTAAAGCTTGAAGAAGAATTCCAGAAGAATTTATGGAGGAAGGAAGGTTGCTTCTCTTTTTTTGGAGGGGGGGGTTGCCAAAAGAAGGCACGTTCCCAGCCATCAAAATTATTACAGAATAACTCCATAGCCTGGGATGATCGGAATTCTAGCCCAACCCATTCGAAGTGCACCTTGTTCGGGAAAGGCGACGGAGCAAGGACGATTCCACTGGTAGGCAAGTGCCCCCTCAATCGTCCTCCCCAGCGGCCATCACTCACCTGCCTGGAGCCCTAAATTGCTGCCCAAGTTAAGTCCAGGCTGTGTACAACGGAGGCCTCTCTTGTCGCTAGGCAACCACATTTTTCTCGCTCATTGCCAAGCCCCAGCCAACCAGCGGAGGCCAAGCTACGGCGTGATAGCACGTGACCTGGCTCCACTGTGAGGAAAGATGATTGTTCCTCCCTCCCTCCCCCCCTCCCCCATCCCTTAGCGCAGTGTTTCTCAACCTTGGCCAGCTATGCTGGCTGGGGAATTCTGGGAGTTGAAGTCCACTCATCTTCAAGTGGCCAAGGTTGAGAAATACTGCCTTAGCGGAATTTTCATAGAGTTGCAAGCCAGTCCCGTCGGGATGTTGGCAAAGGCTGAATATATGACGCACTCTTTTTTGGGGGGTGGGGGTGGGGGTGGGGAGGGGATGTGTTTTTATTTTTTTGGTCTTAAGCAGAGGTCTTCAAACTTGGCAGCTTTAAGACTTGTGGACTTCAACTCCCAGATAGCTGGCTGGAGAATTCTGGGAGTTGAAGTCCACAAGTCTTAAAGCTGCCAAGTTTGGGGACCCCTGGTCTTAAGGGTGGTTTGTTGTTCTTTATTGTGGCAAAGGTGTCTTGTTGCGATTAATGACAAGCACTGCAGTTTCATGGAATACAGCGCAGCTTGGGCTTTTCAGGCAAGGGGTTTTAAACATGGCTGGAGTTTGCACTGTGTCTTTAGGCAAGAAAAATCTCAATTGGCTTCAGAGAGGCTGTAATTAATTAAATGCAAACGTCTGCATCCTCTCTCTTTTAGTGCACACATTCTTCAAATTTTACTTACCCCAGTCAGATTTACTTTGGAGTAAGCATAGATATAATTGCACCCATCATCATTTTTTGTATTGATTGGATTTAATTCTAGTACAAAAGGCAGACAAGCCACCCTTGGAGGTGGGTGGCATTTTGCCTGTTTTATGAAACAAAATATAACCTTTTCTGATAAAGTTAAAATAAATGCTATCCATACTAGTTAATAAGAATCAAATTTTACAAATCTGCCATTTTAACTAGTAAAACTTACATTTAAATATGCTTATGTATAAAAATAATGAAGGCAATACAGATAGTCCTCAACTTACAACAGTTCGCTTAGTGACGGTTCAAAGTTACAATGGCACTGAAAAAAGTGACTTATGACCATTTTTCACATGACCATTGCAGCATCTCTGTGATCAAAATTCGGCCACTTGGCAACTAACTCATATTTGTGATAGTTGCAGTGCCCTGGAGTCATGTGATCACGTTTTGCAACCTTCTAACCAGCAAAGTCAATGGGGAAACCAGATTAATTTAACAACCATGTTACTAATTTAACAACTGCAGTGATTCACTTAACAACTGTGGCAAGAAAGGTCGTAAAATGGGGCAAAACTCACTTAACAAATTTTTCACTTAGCAACATAAATTATGGGCTCAATTGTCATAAGTTGAGTACTACCTATAATTACTATGATGTAGGAAAGCAATAGGAAGGCTACTAAACATTTACAAAGTGGGGGTAGCGTGTATAATACTAGAAACAGGCTGAGTAGCATTCTAGAAGTTTGTAACATTCTCTGATTTGCTTACAGTTTCATGATTAAAATGAATAAAATAATTTTGACTACAGATGTAAAAACTACAGTCCCGATTATTGAGATTTTGCCTCAACTTCCAATATTTGGAAGATTAATTTGTCTTTTATCTCTTGGTGTATACCAGATGATACATATTCAAGATGATGCCATTGTTTAAGACTCTTAGCAACAGCATATTCAAGATAAAGTAATATGAAATTTGTCATTGTGAGTCATACATAGTAACTGTGAAGTCAGTGCTTAAACTGATTTACAGGACTTTTTGAATGGATCAAGTCATTGTATTTCAGCAAGATTATGAATATAGTTGTCTTTTAGAAGACATTTAAGAGAAAGTATCATTTAACATAGTTGCTTGTTGCATATGCTGTACCACATTACATTGAACTTGCAAATCTGTAAATAAAGATATCAAAAAGACACTGAGTGGACATACATTCAAGCAAGATTTAATTATTATTTATTGAAGGTACAATCACCAATCACCAATTCCATTTGTACAATTTTGCCTGAGCAAAATTATTTGCCCATCCAAGCTTCAAAAACTCTTTGGGGTATGTGAAGTGTCACTTCTATGCCACCAGATGTCACTTTTTTACATGCGTCTCCAATCCATATACTGTAAAATGCATTGAAGAATTTTCTAGCAAATTCTTGTGGTTCCTTATCAATAAAGCCTTAGTTTATAATGCTTCTACAGGTTATTCATGTTTATATTCTGGATTTAATATATATCATCCAGCCATTTAGGAAGGTTTTCATGGATGCTATGAATCTAAGACATTTCAGCATTGGATTTCTCTGCAGCTCTAGGGATTCCTTTACTCTTTGTGATATCACACTGTTCCTCTGATAAGTGGCTGAGTTGGTTTTGAATAAAAGATAATTTTACTATTTACAGTGCTGAAACTCTGCAAAACATGAGAATGTGTCCCAAGCTGCCTTCTGATTCCTTGTCTTCAACCAGTTTTTCCTATTGTTTGCATAGCTTCGGCTGCTTTATAATTACTCATCATTAGAAGCAAACACTCATGTTGGGGGGGGGATTAGTAGGCAAAATACATACAACATGAATGAATGAACGAACAAGGAGGCATTCTCTGAATGCCTTTCTGTTCTTGTATTGGACTACTGAAATGAACAACTGATTGGCTATGAACTTATTTTTCAAGATCAACAGGAGTGATATAATGGGCTTGTAGGAGCTTAGGAAACAGGATAGGAATTCATAAAAGGTTACACGTACAAAACAACTGCACATTCTCTCTGTCAAGAAAACAAGTGACTACCTCCCCAGTGAATTAGTACTTGGGTTAATAAGAGGATCAAGAATTCTCAGCCTAATTAACTCAAAAATAACTTGTGACTTTCTGCGAATGTTGAGGTGCCCTAAACAGTGCACTAGAATTTTGTGCCTGGATTTTGGGCATCTCAACTTCATGCACGTTGAAATTGGATTTCTTATTTAATCATAGCCTTGCTTGTTTCAAAGAGAGCCTTTAATTTCACCTGGAGCATCTCCAATACAGCTTTGATAATTGAGGCTGAAACTTAGTATGTTCTGTATCCTGATGAGCTGCCATCTATCTAGCTGCTGACTAGCATTACTGTTGATTTTTCTTCCTCTGAAGTTTACTTTTAAGGTTTTTTTTTTATTATTCTTTTGCAGGATTGGTATTCTGAGTTACTTTGCCTCCTCTCAGAACAGACCCTAGAAATCTGTACATGATTCTTTTTTGAGTCTGGTAAAGTCTCAGGCAAATATAACCTATAGCAGGTCCTCTCTTGCTTTCTTGCTTTCTCTGTCTAAAATAGATGCCTCCAATATATTCTTCTCTTTTCATTTATTTCAAGGAAAGTATCTCTTTTATAGGAGAGCATCAGAATGGAGGTAAAGGACACTAACCAAAGACTATCCACAATGGATACATTACTGTTCCACAGTGTGAATGTGTAGACATATGCATGATTTTCAGCTCCATGTAGTAAACATTACAATAAATCCAGTCTCTGCCATAGCTTTTTGCTGGCTCTTTATGTAATCATGCAGGCATACCATCAAAAAAAAAACCAGGCTGTCACAGGAGGATAATGGACTATACAAGGGCTGGGTCATATCAGATGCTATGTTGACATTGGAAGTAGAGTTTTAAACACTGTCAGAGAGGTGTCTGGGAAGAAAAAAATTGGGAAAAAAATGACAGGATTAAAAATGGAGTTGAAGATTTGCAGCTAAAATGGCTGAAATGAACAGACAGCAATTGATTGTTGAAGTTGAATTTGTTTTAGTAAAACCGCATAATGGGCTGGTAAACCTGAGTTGCATTAGTATGGAAACAGATGGAAGATTGCCAAAAATAATTGTTTGGGCACCACCCTAAGAAGTCTGGTGAAGAGGAGGAGGCATCACAGGACCTTCATAGGGCAGAAATCTATTAATGGAGCTGAAGACTATGGAAGAGAAGAAGATAAAAAGTATACCTGCCAGAGTGAAAAGTCAGCAAAAAGTCAGCTATGATTGATGATGGCCAATATAACCTTAAGCCCTTTCTTAACTCTAGAGTTCTATAGTTTTAATATTTAACAATATGGACAGGTACAAACATGCTAGGCATGCACATATATTGTCATGGCTTGCTAAGAGATTGATATTGTAAAGTGGCTTTGAACTGAAAGAGAAAGAAACTGAAATATTCATAAAGCAGGGACAATGAAAAAAGGGGAGAATGTAAAACAGTTAGGGAAGCCAGGAAGATTAAACTGCTTGATTGTTCTGCTAAAGTTTGAAAAAAATGGCTTCTGACTATCTCTGTTAAATGCATAAAATCTGAAGTAAAGTCTAACACAGGGGTGAAATCCAGCAGGTTCTGACAGGTTCTGGAGAACTGGTAGCAGAAATTTTGAGTAGTTCGGAGAACTGGCAAATACCACCTCTGGCTGGCCCCAGAATGGGGTGGGAATGGAGATTTTATTTATTTATTTATTTATTTATTTATTTATTTATTTATTTATTTAATTTATATACCGCCCTTCTCCCAGAAGGGACTCAGGGCGGTGAACAGCCAAAATTAAAAAATCATACAAATACAAAAGTTAAGATAATTAAAAAGAATTAAATCACTAGCTTCCAATTTAAAACCCCCAAATCCATAAAATTTAAAATCCCAATTTAAAAACCATTTAGGCTAGGCCGGCTTGATGGAATAAAAACGTCTTCAGGGCTTTACGGAAGGTCCGGAGGTCCGGGATCAATCGTATTCCAGGAGGCAGTTCATTCCACAGGGCGGGTGCCCCCATAGAGAAGGCTCTCCCCCTGGGGGCCGCCAGCCGACATTGCCTGACCGACGGCACCCTGAGGAGGCCCTCTCTGTGAGAGCGTATTGGCCGGTGGGAGGTTATCGGTAGCAGCAGGTGGTCTCGCAAATACCCTGGCCCTAAGCCATGGAGCGCTTTAAAGATGAGAATCAACACCTTAAAGTGCACCCGGAAGACCACCGGGAGCCAATGCAGCTCACGCAGGA